CAGTTGATACCCTATAACTTATGTTAAAAACTGGCCATGTCCCTTTTTTCTAATTGCAACTCACCCCCTTGGCAATGTGACCTCTAAACAGCTGCCCAACTTAGACAGTGCCCCTCAGTCCTGCACTGCAGCTCTTAACAAGAATGACTGCAGAAGTGCAGCTGGGGGTGGGAGAAAGTCATCCCCTTCCCATTTCCATATGGAAACATCAGCTTGGCAAAGTTGCCAATGGAATGGGATGATAGTAATAATATTTTTTTAAAGGCGAAGGTCACAAGGATGGAGAGAGATGAACATGGAAGGTAAACAGATAGGGTTAACTAAATGCAAATTTTACGTGAGGAAAAAGGCTCTTGAGAAGCTCCCAAGTGGTGGTAAAAAGGAAGGAAACAGCTGCAGGGTGGAGAGCATGTGTGGCCAAGAGGGCATGTCTTAACATTTTCCTTAGGCTCTAGAAGGTTCTGAGGTTGTCTGTGCAAGCACAAAAGGAAACCATATGAGTGATTCAAAGAGACTATGAAGACGAAACATGCATGGATATTTTCTCCATGATCACTGCAGATGGTGACAGCAGCCATGAAATTAAAAGACTCCTGCTTCTTGGGAGGAAAGCAATGACAAACAAAGACAGCATCTTAAAAAGCAGAGACATCACCTTGCCGACAAAGGTCCGCATAGTCAAAGCTATGGTTTTTCCAATAGTGATGTATGGAGGTGAGAGCTGGACCATAAAGAAGGCTGACCGCCGAAGAATTGATGCTTTTGAAATGTGGTGCTGGAGGAGGCTCTTGAGAGTCCCCTGGACTGCAAGGGGAACAAACCTATCCATTCTGAAGGAAATCAACCCTGAGTGCTCACTGGAAGAACAGATCCTGAAGCTGAGGTGCCAGTTCTTTGGCCATCTCATGAGAAGAGGAGACTCCCTGGAAAAGACCCTGATGCTGGGATATCGTGAAGACAAGAGGAGAAGAGGACAACAGAGAATGAGATGGTTGGACAGTGTCACTGAATTTGACAAAACTCCAAGAGGCAGTGGAAGTCAGGAGGGCCTGGTGTGCTCTGGTCCATGGGATCATGAAGAGTCAGACATGACTTAACAACTAAACAACAACCCAAGGGGGTTGAATTTATTAGAAAATAAAAAATTAGAAGAAGCGTTTATAGCATCAGATTCAATTAAGAAAAAGAGAGGTGTGGCAACATATATATGAAACAAATTAGACCCAAAGCTAGTTTTGGGAGCAAGATTTATCACATCAATAAAGACTATCTATACCAAACAAAAAGCGAAAATAAAAATAAATGGAGATTTTACAAAAGACATTCAAATAAAGACAGTGACAATACAAGGAAGGTCATTATCTTCATTATTATGTATACTCTCATTGGAAGTCCTCAACAAATCAGGACTAATAAAAACATAAGAGGGTTGAAAATAATGGGAGAGAAATATAAATTACAGGCATTTGCCAATGATTTATTTTTATTTTGGAAGAACTCAGTAAATCTATTAATGAACTGATGGAAAGAGTAATAAATTTGGGAAATGGCGGGAATGAAAGTGAATTGGCAGAAAACAAAAATTCTTGGCGAAAATATTCGAACCAAGGAAATTCATAAATTGATAGACATGACAGGCTTCCAAGAGGAAAAGAGTTAAATATTTGGGAATCCAAATGACAAATAAGACAAGCACATTAATAAAAGACAAGTACATAAAACTTTTCAAGGAGATACAGAGATATTTGGAAAAGTGGGATAAGCTACAACTTTCATTAATGGGAAGAACAGTGGTAATCAAAATGAATGTGCTACATAAACTGATTTTTGTTTTCCAGACAATACAAGTGATGCTAAAGCAAACACTTCTTCAGCACTTTAACAAAAAAAAAAACAAAAAAAAGAAAGAAATTTGGCAAGGAAAAAAAAATGAGTGTTAAAGTAAAAAGAACACTTCTTCAGGACTTTAACAAAAAAATAAAATAATGAAATTTGGCAAGGAAAAAAAAGTGTATTAAAGTAAAAAACACAACAAGACTCTAAACAAAGGGTGGGTTTTGCTCTCCTGGATTGGAATATCTACTATACGGCCTGTGTACTGGCCTCTATCAAGGAATGGATTACTCTGAATAATGAGAGAATGCACCAGAATGGGGCTTCATCTTGGTTCGTGGGTTGTCAAACTTGATGACCCATGAACTACAAATTGCCCCCTTGTGGCCCGATGAACCACAAATCCATTCATTGATTCATTGGGTTATTTTTTAAAAAGACAGCTCCCTGGGCTATCTTAAAAACAAACAAACAAACAAAAAAGGCCCAGCCCCCACAGCCTTCCTATACTGTGCAGGGGCATAGGAAGGGGGAAACAGGGGGAAAGCCTGACCAGAGCCATCCCCCAGCCCTGCTGCCTTTGCAAAGGCAGCAGAGCTGGGGGATGGCTGTGATCCCTTTTTCCCTCCTCCTATGCCACTGCCAGGGCATAGAAAGAGGGGGAAAGCCTGACAAAAGCCATCCTCCAGCCCCGGGGATGGGTTTCCCTTCTGGCAGGCTTTAGTATGTCGCCGAAAGGGAAAATCCCTCCCCTTCTGGCAGGCTTTAGCAAGCCGCCAAAAGGGAAAATCCCTCCCTGTTTAAGCCCCTGAGGAACAGCTGATCCATGGGGGCATAAGCTGATAGGGCATTAAGGGGCAAACATAAAAGGGTTATATTCATTGCTTCATATTCGTCAGGGTCTCTGGACTCCAAGAATACGAAGCAATGAATATCTGATGAATCAGAGATATTTGTTGAAAATCCTGATTCATTTTTACATTTGTCCCCAGGTCTAATATTGATTTAGAACATTGGACACAAATTTGGCAGAACAATAGTAAACTTATGAAATCAGTAAATTTCAAATAAACAATATATATGATGTTTTATACATGGCATATGACTCCAGCTAAACTTTCTAAAATGTATGAAAATGTTTCCAGCAAATGTTGGAAATCTAAAATACAGGAGGGTATTTTCTATCGTATTGGATGGACATGTAGGGAAGCAAAAAATTTACTGGAGATTAGTGCAAGAAATGTTACAAAAATGGTATCTTGCACGATACCATTTAAACCGGAATTGTTTCTGTTGAATATCATGCTTGAGGCTGTAGATAAAAAAATAAGATATTTCATGATACATGTAATTACTGCAGCTAGGATACTATACAGTATAGGAAATATTGGAAGAAAGCAGAAATATCATCCCTAGAGGAGGTGACAGAAAAGCTAGTGGAAGTGGCGGAGATGGATGTACTAACAGAAGCACTAAAGGAAATATCATCTCAAAAAGGACTCAAAAATTGGGAACAATTTTATAGCTGGACTTGAAATATGGATTGGAAAGCATAGATAACAGAAGAATGTGAAGGTCCAGTTAGGGAATGGAGAGATTAGTAATTACAGCAATTATGGTTAAACTTGTAAATTTTGTTGTTGTTCTTGTTATCTTCCTCTTTAGCATAACTATATAAGTGGATGTAAAAGTACTCTCTCAGTCTCTGGAATTTTGCTGGACTCTCACCAATATCTACTCCACCTGCCCCCCATCCTCCTACTCCCAATCCTACTGTACTGTATTCCCATTGAAAACTAATTAGTAGACATGTTCTATATGGGCGGCATATAAATCTAATAAATAAATATATAAATAAAATTGCAGTGGTCTACAAAGCACAGCCTGGTCTTCTTTTGAAATTCCTCAGTGAACTCCAGTAGCTGGCATAAATTTGCAAAATGTGGCAGCCATATTGCTGACTGAGGGCTAGGTACAGGGATCATATAACCCCATTACAGCAGCTCCACTGGCTTCCAATCCGTTTCTGGACACAATTCAATGTGCTGGTTCTAACTGATAAAGCCCTAAACAGCTTGGGTCCATGCTATCTCAAAGAACGTGTCACCCATTATGAGCTTGGTTAGGTGTTAAGAGGAGAAGTGATGCCTTTCTTTTAGTCCCGCCCCCTTCACATATGTGTTTGTTGGGGAATGGGAGAAGGCCTTCTCTGTTATTGCTCTGAGACTTTGGAACTCCCTCCCACAGGAGACCAGGCTGGCTCCATCTTTGCTGTTGTTCTTCAAGCAGGCAAAGACCTTTCTCTTCAGGCAAGCTTTCCTGGTTCTCTGAGTGGATTTTTAAATGGGTTGTTATGCCTTACTGCTTTAAATGTGTTTTTAGTATTGCATTTGTACCATTTTTAGAGTGATCTTTTCGATATTTGTATACTTATTGTTTTTAGCTTTAAATATTGTCTTTAATTATATAAGCTGTCTTTGTATACTCTTTGCTTTTAGCTTTAACTGATTTTTTTAATTATGTAAGCCAACTTGGGTCCTTTTAAAAGAGAAAGACAAGGTAAAAAATTAATTAAATATGATCTCTAGTACTTCTTCCTTTTTTGAATTCATCTTGAACATCAGGTACGTCTCACTTCATATAAGTTAAAAGCCTTTGTTGCAACACCTCGAGCATCACTTTGTTTGCATGGGAAATTAAAGCAATGCTCCTATATTTACTGTAGTCCTTGGCCTCTCCTTTCTTGAGAACGGCAATATTTATGGAATCTTTCCAGTCTGTGGACCATTGTTTTGTATTCCATATTTGTTAGCATATTCTTATTATGATTTTCACAGATTCAGTCTTGGCAGCTTGAAATAGTTATATTGGTATTACGTTTAGTCCTGATGACGCCTTTCTTCTATGTGCTTTCAGAGTAGTTTCACTTTACCTCCTAGAATTGAAGGTTCTTCATCGTAGGATTCCTTTTCAAAGAAATCTGTCATGTCACAATGAGCCTGTTCATGGCTGTTTCCATTTGTGCTCCACATTCTAAGAAAATATCCTGGGTGTATTCCTGTATTGTCATGTAATTTACATTTGGGACTAAGTGAATATATTCTAAATAAACACTGTAACTACTTTGGATGTTAAATAATTTTATTTAATTCTAATACTGACACAATCCATACACAAACTAAACTGTAGCTCATGACCCTAAATACAAAACAGCTGTTTTCTTCTTCTAACTATTAGGGATGGGAAAGAATTTTGTTGTACTTTGTTTTTCCAAAGAATCATCCAAAATTCGCAAGCGTCCTCATATTTGGAAGGGAAAAAAATTGCAAGGATAAAAGACTGACAGGGCCTGTACATCCAGGCTCAGGGATTTCAGTGTTTAATTCTTGAAACTCTGGGCTTGAATCTCTGTATATTCAGCTATTTAGTGCTGAAGTAGGGATGATATCTTTTGTTCTCTGATAAGATATTAATCTTTAATATATATCTGTAGCGACTAAATGTGGCTAGTGTAGATGAGCGGGCATTCTGTTTCAATTTATGTTTGGGGGGGGGAAAGGCTGAAATTCGCTTATCACATATTCAAGACAGAAAAAACATGAGGTTTTGTGTCCGTCCCCCCCTGTGTATGGTTTACACTGAATGCAGGAGAAAGCAAAACTGACAGATCTTCCCATCCCTGGTGACTATGATTCTCAAGGAATGCACAGAATGGAATGGTTCCTGATCATACCAGACCCATGTGAACTACACAGGGAGTTTGTAACCAGAGCAAGGCAGTTGCCTCCTCCCGCAGCTCTCCAGTTCGTACACAAACTGCCCCCGTCAATTACCCGTCCATGGAATATATAACTCATGATTGTGTGAACCAACAGTTAAGAAACAAGTAATAGATCAATCTGTTACATGGCTTTCTGCCTCTATTCAGGGCTCTTGTGCTCAGGGTTACAAAATGAATACATAAAATACCCTGAAAAAAAATAAAACCTTAGTACTTCCTCCCCTCCAAGGCTTAGCAGATCGCGGTTACATTCGAATCTTGACTGCTTGAGTCCAGGTTGTCCGAGCCTATGTCTGAAATTGCATCCGAAAAATCTGGGCCACTTTGAGCTTTTGCAAAGTTGATGAACACCTACAAGGAAACAGAAGGTGCCATATTTAATTAAATATATCCCGTTTTATGAATAGTTTACAAATTTATTTATTTATTTTATTTATCAGAAGGTGCCATATTTAATTAAATATATCCTGTTTTATGAATAGTTTACAAATGCTTTCACCATTTAATATTCATTATGCCGCCCACACTACCCAGAGGTCTGGCTTTCACCATTTAATATTCACCACCCTAGAACTCCAGGGCTGGAAGGGATCCTAGCCCACTGCGCCTCCCTTAAGGAGGCACAGTGGAGAATTGAAAGGGGAGGTACTCAAAATGTAGCTGAAGAGGAAAGACTTACACCTCCCTTTCCTGTGCATTGCAGTGCTGATGTCTGTTAGTGCCTTCCACACCTGGAATTTCACTGATGTGTCTATTAACCATGGTGTTGCAAAATTAACAGTTCTAACACCTTGGTAGCTTAAGTAATAGCAGTGATTCTCAACTTGTGATACATTTACCACTGGCAGGTCATAAAAACACTGCAGTAGGAGGCAGGGTTTATAATGATGTGTGGTGTGCCATCTCCTACCTGCTTAAATTATTATCCTATTGGCATGCTAGTAGTAACTTTGGACACAGAATTTTTAAAAATCTTTCCCCACTCTATCTTATTATAAGTGTAAATATAATAAGAGAATGGCTAAAGATAGACACATGACTTTGTTGGAAAAAGTGGGCTTTCATTTACATCATGGTGGAGCTCATGATCCTTTGGAAGAGCAGCTAATGGGCATAAGATACATAAGGTTCAGAATCACTGATAAATAGTTTGGCCACAAGGCTAGAACTTTTTGAAAATTTAAGAACACTTGGCCTCAAAATATTCATTTATACAGTATGTTCTACAAGCAATTCAGTATTCTACTTTACTTTACTTTTATTAGATTTTTACCCCGCCTCCCTAGACAAGGTCTACTCAGGGCGGCTTACATACATAAAAACATAGCAAACAACATCTTAAAACATTTAAAACATCAAATTTTTATACTTTCCATAGATCCTTCTAAAAGGGCTCACCATTGACACACATGCTTTAAATAAAGCTGCTTATATATGAAACCAAAGCCTGACCACAATTAAAACTGCTGCATTCTTCCAAACCTCTGATGATAAGTGATACTTATCTATGACTTCTCCTTGGTAAACTATCTCCTTGGTAAATTTGTTGGTGTGATAGGTTTTTTTGTTGTTGTTTTCATTTTTGTCAAAACAACTTGTTAATGGCATTTGAATGGCCAGTAAGATGAGACAGAATATTTTTGCAGAAAGGCAGGTACAAGTAAAATAATAATAATAGATACAAAATAAATAAATAAATTATATAATTTTTTTTTCTCTTGACATTATCAGGGAAAGACATACCTGTCGTATGTCGTGGAACCTTTCATTTTAGGATATCCTGCCTCAAAAAAGGGAGACAGACTGGGATGTCTGGAATTCTACACATGTTATTATTTAGATTCCTACATGTGAACACAATAACAGTTCAATATTCAACTTCTCACGTTTAGAACAGACAAGTACAACTGCATACCTCTTCAAGCGTTGTTTGACTCACTGAGAAGTGCCTGATTTTGAAGGTTGCTTTGTTGGTTTCCAGTAGCTGAAATATGTTGGCTACACCTCCAGCAGACACTGGGACATGATACTCCACCATGTTCAGCTGATGGTCCTATATGGATAAACAGATTTATTGGGCATGGATATCACGTTCAGAAAGGAGGAAGAATGTTTTGGAATTGAAACACCATTGTCCCACTGGAACCATCCCCCTGTTCTCCTGTTGAGTGACCCCTTTGCAGCACTCTGGACATTAATTCATAAGGCAAGACTATGGACCCTTCCCAGTGCCTCTGACACTATTCCTGGATGTCCACACAACCACTATGCATGGAACTCCAGGATCAATTCTTTGCAGTTTTCAACCATCACTGCAATTTACGTTCAACTGTCACTTCTCTCATCTTGTCAGTTGTTCTGAAGTCTGTATGGTCACCCATTGATCTGCAAAGTCTTACACACTCTAGGCATCACATTTCCCTTGTCTTCATAAACTGAGTACTGGTGGTTTATCTCCACCATCTTTAAAGAAAGATCTGTAAGGTTCAGACTGCACACTCACAAATCATACAGACAATCGTGATACACATGATTAGAAATGTTTTTCAGCTAAACTGGTGTTTGGCAGTTCCCAGTTGTGCTTCCTCCAGTGAGCACCCACTCAGAGGCAGCATCCTGGCTTTCCTGCCTTGTCTCCTCCAGTCGCGACAACGCTTGGCTGGGGCAGATTTGCCATGCCAGTAATTCAGCAAGACATTAGACATTTTTACATATATTCTTAGCTTAGGGCCTGTCCAGACAGGGGAATTTTGAGCTTTCTAGTTCACACTTAAAGGGGTCTTATCTTCAGTGCTCTTTATTTTACCTCTCATTTGAGCAAGCAAGCGATCTAAGTAGAAACATGTGTGGATGCCATCATTTTGTTTAAATCAACTGTACCAACAGCAATTCAAACAGCAATCTATATACCCAAATGGACAGGCTCTTATTTAACATTATTTAACCTTGCTTTAACTTGTGTCTGGGCTGTACCACTTCGTATAGATTGGCACTTATATTACTGAATGTTCATTCATACAAACATATGTTCTGGCCTAACCTCCTTACTGACATTTAGACCTTTAAAACCTCAGTATATATTACAAGAACAAAGAACTTTTGCTTATTGGCCTTTGTACAGTAAAAAACACAAATGATTATTACTGTGGATAGCCTATATTACAATGTCATATGCTCTTTTGTATAGATAAGTAAATGGCTTAAGAATTTAAACCATAGTTTAAGTCCTTCCAAATTTTACTCTTTTCTATTTACCTTCAGATGTGTGTTTGGAAAGTTTGACTGCAAAAATTGTGTCAGCTTCTCTATGCTACTTGCATCATTATTCAAATGCATCTTCACAGTGAATCCTTTTCCAAACCTAGGGGATAAAATATATTATGGAACATAAACAGAGGTTTTAAAAACTTATTACAGAATCAGACAGCATCTCTTTGAACCCAAATGAAAACCATATTAAATTCTTTGTGTAAACAAGAGGATCTTAGGGGGAAATCTGGGCCATCTCCAAACTGCAGAAACTATCAGAGATGATCAGTCTGTAGGTTTTTAGTTAAAAACTGTGGAATCTGAGTTTTTGCTTAAAAATAAAGAAGAATAAAATCCACTGTAGTGTTAGCATAGTATCTTTTAAAAAAGGATTATTTCCCCCCTCTAGTCAGCTGAAATATATATAAATGAATAGAGTGGACAGACTGATAGACTAGGGCACAGGAGACCCTTACAGAAACTCACTGAGGTCATAGCTCTTGCAAAACCTCTCTGAAAATCTCTCACAACCTGAAACCACTATTAGGATCACTATACATTGGTTCTGACTTGATGGCACATGACAACAACCACATACTTGATAACCAGCTACAATCAAATACAGGACAGTTGCTCAAGTATTTTGTACAAGATGGAGGAGGAAGAGGATAGAACAGAGTTAGTGGAAATGTCCATGGAAATGTCCATCTTCATAAGCAGGGCCTGAGTGAGTGCACTGAGTGGGAAGGAGCAGCAGAGCTATACTGAGCCATATTCAATCACCCAGCACATGCCTGCTTCATTAAAGCTGGGACAGATTATCTTCCAAATATCTATACCAGAAAGTGGCTGGTTTCACTGTTCCTCTCAATATGCTCCGCACCTTCTGGTATACAGATGAGATACAAAAATAATGTTACTCCTTGTCAATGAGTCCAAACTTGTAGAACCTTATAGAATAACCCAGTTTTGTGCATAAGATTTTGTGGACTATAATTCACTTCATCAACTGTACATAATAACCTCATCAAGCAGATTTTTTTAACATACTAGTTGGAAGGAAGGGATACAGAATATTATATCAGTGCAAATGTTTGTTGTTATGTGCCACCTAGTTGCCTCTCACTCGCAGCAACCTTATGAATGAACACTCTCCAAAATGTCCTGTCCTCAAATATCCCGCTCAGCTCTTGCAGACTCAAGCCCATAATCTCTTTTAGGGAGCTAGTACATCTCACACTGTTTTTCCCCCCTCTTTTCCTGCTGCCTGCCAGCGGGGAAATGGCTTTACCACTGGCCATCTGGAATTGTTTAACTTTGTCCTGTTAAGATGAGCACCATACTGGTACCTGTTTCATTTTGTACACATACATCTTGTTTCTGTAAAAATGTCTGCCTACTGAAGCAGTGGCCTGCAGCACACAAAAGCCAAGCAAAATGTGTTAAGTCTTTAAGGTGCCACCCTGCTCTATTATTTTTTGCTACAAACCCCCAAGATGGCTAACCCTTCCTGGAAATATCTTTGCTCTATATTTTATTTCCCCCCTTAGTCCTCTTATAAAGCAATACATAAATAAGAAGTCAACAATATATTCATTGTTTATAAACAAATAGTAAGTGTCTGAAGAGGTGGATTTTAATCCATGACTCACTATAAAATAAGACAATTAGTTTTTAAAGTTCTTCCATATTTTGTACCCCCGCCCCTTTTCTTTTGCCAATATGCTGAAAACAGGCCAACACAGCTATTTCTTCGGAAATTGAATGAATCGAGGGCTTAGCAACACTGCTCCCTGCTTATTCAAAGAGTCAGTCTGTCTGAGAAGAGAGACTGTACCAACCTGCTCTTTATGTGCTGCAGTGAACCCATGCAGTGGAAGCATCCATTTACCATGATAGCCAGCCGAGTACACAGAGCCTCACATTCCTCCATACTGAAAGCCAAGGGAAAAGGAAGTTAGAAGGAGCCAGGAGACTTCCTGAGCATGAATTGATGAAAACAAAAATGTTAATAACCTGCTTACTAAGCAAGATGACTTACAGTGATGTGAACTCTTCGTGGTTTAATATTATACAAGGGAGGGTGGATTTGTTTTAAATTTTTAAAAATTTGATGATTTACATTGAAACCATGATTTTTGGTTTAAATCATAATTGAAATCAATTTGGTTTTTTAAAAGCATTAATTTTTATCCACTTTGATACAAGGTTTTCTCCAGAACAGCCATACCCTAAGGGCAGTAGACAAGGCATCCTTCAGTCTCGAGAGACTATGGTAACACGCTCTGTATGGAGGACTTGGAACAGCATCTAGTGTGATTGAGAAGGCCAATTTGAGAGTGACAATCCCTTTCACACTGAAGACAAATACAATCTGTCCCCTGTCCAGCTCCCTGATTTTGCTGGTTTCAGGACTCTTTGCCTCGGCCTGCTGGACAAGGGTCTCTTCAAATTGGGAGAGGCCGTGATGCACTGCCTGCCTCCAGGCTGAATGTTCAGATGTCAGGGTTTCCCATCTATCGAGGTCCATTCCTAAGGCCTTCAGATCTCGCTTGCAGATGTCACTGCAAGCGGGATCTCTAAGCAGTAATCACTTGCAGTAATCACTTGCTTTTCTGCAATTTTCTCTCTGAGGAAGAAACAGTGGAAATCATGACTGAGAAGACCTCCGTGAACAGGAGTTGCAGCTGTAGTTGAGCTTAATGGGATAGATTATTAAGTAGAAAAGATTTCTTTGTGAATAAAAATAGTGGGAGTTGCCAAGAAGAAGAGAAGATGTCATCACCCAGAAGCAACACAGTCCTGGCAGGATCACCACCAGTGTTAGTCAAAGCTCTGTGATATTTAGTAAGGATGTGCCATTTGGATTATTTGGATGCCAATTCACACAGTTCTCCAAGAATTCCCAGCATTTCACTTGATTATATACTTCCCTGTTCACATATATGTTTAAAATCAGCTCTTAAAAGGAAGACCTTTCTTCAGGCAAAGAGATTGCAAATTCTGTTGTATTCATATGCACACACATGCACACATAATCTAATTATTAAGAATCATAGGATTCAGTTTAGCCTCTGTAGACCATAATTAATGATATGACTCAGAAAGAAGAGAGATCAGGCTAGGAGGAAGATGCATAATTAACTGGCCTTTACATATTTATCTCTTAAGCCACTTTAAAACAATTTATTAGCTATCGACTTTTATTAGAGGGGCCAGCTTGATGCCATTTAGGGCCTAAATTTCTTTTCTCTGGAATTAGGTGCAGGAAACTATACACCTATTAGTATTTGGAGTTATGATAATAAATTTCTCTCACACAGAAACAGGTGACCCTAACTGATCCTAGATTCAAAACAGGTCATTTAAATTGACCTGTCTTACTTATCTTGGAAATAGATGGTTTGCCCCATGGACTTTTTTATTTGGAAAGAATCCAGGCTGCAGAAAGTGAAATATTGATTCTCAAAAGAGGCTTTTCAAATGGGAAAAATAATGAATTTAGTATAGACTGAGCATGTGTGCAACAGGCTTGCCAGGCAGATGATAAAATGTATCATATGGGCAAGGGAGAACTGCAGATCTACAAAAGTTTACAGTCATTATAAAGGAAGAAAAAAACCAGCCTTGCTTTAAAGAAAGTAATGGAGAGATAGGCCTCCAGAAAGGGGGGCATTTTGCCATGTACCTCCAGAGAATTAGAGCAATATTTGTAAGACATTCAAATTATTTCTGCACAACAAAGGCATAGTGCAAATATGTTTGTCCCAGCTTTTATTCTTCTTCTTTGTAGCCGAGGATAATCTAACTAGACATTTGCAGAGCTTTGCCCAAATGAACAGCCTTGCTTTAAAGAAAGTAATGGAGAGATAGGCCTCCAGAAAGGGGGGCATTTTGCCATGTACCTCCAGGGAATTAGAGCACTATTTTTAAGACATTATGTTTGTCCCAGCTTTTATTCTTCTTCTTTGTAGCCGAGGATAATCTAACTAGACATTTGCAGAGCTTTGCCCAAATGATCTTGCTTCTGTCCTCTCACAGCAACCATAGTACAGGTCATGTGCTCATCTTCTGGGATAGTCTAGCACTGGGTAATTCCACATAAAGGAAGTTTCTGTTGGGATTTGTATATAAATTTCTGGTTTATAAATGTGAGCTATTGTGCTTCTGTGTCCACAATCCAAAATGCCAGGAAATGGCCCAATATTGCTGCATAATATCATGCCTGCGTTGCCAGCAGGACAACAGATGCCAAACTTTATATAGCAAAGGGCAGCCAGAATGTTAACAACACCAATTGTGACAGTCACGATGGTCTAAAGGACCATCTTTTACCACTTTTTACCCTTTTACCACTAAAATCTACACTTCTGAAAAAACAGCCCTGAGAATTGCTTTATGTTTGAGCAAGAAGTGGTTAACTGATGAAAAAAAGGAGTCAGTTTCTCAGATTTCCACTTGCTTGATGTTGCTTTGTGAACGACAACACAGGTTTGATATTGTGCAGCAATATCAGGCCATTTCCTGGTATTATGAATTGTGGATACAGAAGCACAATATCCCACATTCATAAACTGGGATTGTTGTTTTTTTAAAGAAATGAATTAATCTTATATACAAATTAGCAAGAACAAGGAAGTTTCCTTGGATTGTAACAGGGATCACACCAAAATTTTAACTTCTTGTCAGCTTTTAGCTCAAAGGAGGGCATAATGATCTCAACCTAAGGTCAGTCTGCTTGAGTGAAAATAAATCCATTGGAATACATATTTTAGAATATGGCTTCTGAGCCAGCATGCTTTCATTGGACATCCCAGGCACTCTACCTGTGAGAAGTAAGTATCACTGAACATTGTTTCTGCACTTCCTCAGTGATAATTTTCCACAGATGCCTCTTAGCATTAGGATCCATTCCAGAACTTGGTTCATCCTAGAATGAAACAATTAAGATTGTAAACATAAAGAGTAAGAAAAAGAATACATAGTCATGAGTTTTGTTTCTTGAAAAAAAAACTATCATACTTAGGGTTAACATCGCCAACATAGGGTGGGGTGTGCTGGTTCACACCTTTTTCTGGTGAACACACAATGTATGTGCCAATGCGAATCAGCCCACTCTGAGTGATGACTAGCTGCACCTTTTGGGTCCCTTTCAGGGGCTACTGTGTTTTTTTTTTGGTGGAGGTAGCATTTTTGGGTACAGGTTCAGTTCTAGTGTGTGTGATCACTGGGATCAAATCAAAGTGGTTGGTTTAAGCTGTACTTTTGCTTAAGCTGCTTAATTATCTTGAGAAATACAAAGCTTCCTTGTCAGTTGTCTGCAGAGTAGAAGGGAGAGGAAGTTTTGTATTTCCTTCTCATTATTGCCAATGCATCAGCAATGCTTTGAAAGGGCATCACTGATGAGCTATGTCAATTAGTAAAGGTAAAGGTAAAGGTTCCCCTTGACATTTTTAGTCCAGTCGTGTCTGACTCTAGGGGGTGGTGCTTATCCTGTTTTTCAAGCCTTGGAGCCTGCGCTTGTCCGAAGACAGTTTCCATTGTCATGTGGCCAGTGTGACTAGGGAACGCCGTTTTACCTTCCCACCGAGATGGTACCTATTTATCTACTCGCATTTACATGCTTTTGAACTGCTAGGTTGGTGAGGAGCTGGGACAAAGTGACGGGAGCTCACTCCATCGCATGGATTCGATCTTACGACTGCTGATCTACTGACCCTACAGCTCAGGCTTCTACGGTTTAGCCCGCAGTGCCACACCTCCCTAGCAACGATTGAAAAGGAACAGAAAGCTTCATCTCCGCAGTTTAGCCCGCAGTGCCACCACCTCCCTAGCAACAATTGAAAAGGAACAGAAAGCTTCATCTCCTTTCTCTTCCATAGGTGAGTGGCATGGAATATTTACCTTTCTTGAGACCATTTAGTGGCTTAGGCAAAGCATGGAGAAGGAGACGGGGGTGAGTGCTGCTTTTTTTCCTTTACCTTTAAAGGGAAAGATTGGTCTAGATCATGTTAAACAGGATTGCTTGAGATGTGATATGTCAATCCTTGCATTCAAATGACATGCAACATCTCAAAGCACTCTGGTTTAGGACAATCTAGACCAATCTAGGCCATCACTAGCCCAGAGTAACCATGCATAGAATTGTACTGTAACAACCCTAAAGGTACTAAGCCCTAAGTGCATAAATATGAGGGAGAAATAGTTTAGTAAAGCTGAGCTTGTGATTTAAGATTCTTTATAGATGAGCTGACTTGCACAGCAGGATCGAAATGTAGTTGAAACTTGTAAAGAAATAACATTCTTTTCTGAATTCTGCTCAAAAATCCAGGGGTATCAGTTGTATGATGCTACAGCATCAGATTATAGAAGACACAATGGCACAATCTAGAGCACCAAAAGTTACTTTGAAAAAGTAATTCCTCACAATTATCACTCCAATGCCTTAAAAGGAGCCAGTTACTTTTATAGTTATGCTTTTGAAAGTAATTATTCTGTGTTTCCCAAAAATTATTAATATCATTGCTTTTTGTTTACTTGAAAAATCTGGATGCTATGAGCTGCTGCCCTGAGACAAAAGCCAATACTCTTCTCTTCCACATGGCCTTTACCATCACTCACAAAAAGACACAAAGCAGCAAGGGGCTATTCCTCCTGCAATATTTAGTGAGACCACACACCCATAATCATAAACGTAACTAAAAAGTTACAGTTATGTTACCAAAGAAGTAGCATTATCTCTTGCTGAATCACCATCCTCCCTAATTTCAATTTAGCTACTAGGGCATTCACTACATCCTCCTGCAATATTTAGTGAGACCACACACCCATAATCATAAACGTAACTAAAAAGTTACAGTTATGTTACCAAAGAAGTAGCATTATCTCTTGCTGAATCACCATCCTCCCTAATTTCAATTTAGCTACTAGTTACTGATTTAGTTATAACTGGTTATTTCTAAGCTCTGGTACAATCACAATGGTAGACTTAATAGAATTAAGAAAGTTATAAATATCAGAGGGAGTTGAAGTCAGAGACACCAGTGCAGATGGGCAGGACTAGGAGCTAGGCCTGGAGAGCAGCTTTTACATAAAGACAATTATATTGAAGTGAGGAAAACTGGGGAGGCGGGGAGGGGGGCGGGGATCGTGCTTGAGTTGTGTGCATGCTTCCATTCTCAGCTTTGTTCACTGATTAAAGCAAGGTTTCTGCTTCAAGTATCACACTCAGATAATATACCACAGATGAGCTACTGTATGCCATTGTCCTACAGCAGACATCCTCAGCAAAACTGCAGGATCTTCTGATTATTTCAATTGTGATAATTTGGCGATGGGACAATGTTAAATGTCCTCCACTCCCCAGTGATACCAATCTCTTCCATGAACATCTAGGAGCTTCACTCTTGATCATGGAAGAGAGTTTTTCAACAGCTGCTTCTTGGGTTATATTATGCACAACAATCACAATCCTCTTGGAGTGAACTAGATTTTATGTGCACAGGAGGACTTTTGGCTTTTCATAATTATCAGATGGATTATGGGCAAAAACAGATCCTAAAGCAATCATGCCAGTATTTCTTTTTCTGCTCTTATTTAGTCTCTGCACTTCACAGGCATTACCCCAGATTACGGTAGTTTCACACAAATTGAAATCTGTCACAAACTGTCCGTGCATCAATACTGAGATACATTTTCGAAACACCCCACATTGAACTGGAAGGCAGGCAGTGTAGAACAGGGATGGAGGAAGAGACAAAGATTAACAACTGGAGACTGACAGAATTTATAGGCATAATCTTCCTATCCTCTGCAGATAAACATTCTCAGGGAAGAAAAAAGCTTGAGAAGAATCAAAAGCGGTGACAAAAGCATTCCCTGCTCCAGACGACTGACGGAGCAGGAGGCACACAACTCCCTGCACTGATCAGACAAGGAAGCAGAGGCAGCATGTTGACATTTTGCCTTTGGACCCTCAGCTTCACTGTGGGTCTCTCAGGCGTCTTGCTTCTATTTTTTTTAATCCCCTGAGAAGATGAAATGAGATGAGAGAGTTAAGACAGCCATCTCATCATATATGTAAGGATGCAATGAGTGTGCAACCAAGTATGCCTGCTTACTAGTAGATATAGGCTGGAGTGCAGCTGCATGTGCGCAACACAAAGCTAGGGAACCAATCTGGAAACCAGTGGCATAGCAAAAGCGCTATTCACAAATCACTTTGGCAGGTGTGCTGTGCCACAGTCGTGATGGGAACAGCAGAACTAATTGTGCAATCAAACTCTGCAAATCCTTGCTGCCTAGGCAAATTTATGCAAGCATCACTTTAACTTGTGTGAAGACAAACAGGATTTCAGGAATTTTGTGTATAAACTACAAGAGAGAGGGAGGGAACAAAGACACAAACTGTAAGAAAAAGTGTTCTGTGTCCTTTAACCAAGAAGACTCCAGACCGATAATTTTACCTCACTGGAGAGAAGGACTGAGACTGGGTCAATTACTCCATGACTTTTCTCTGGACTAAAAAGGGAACAGTCAAATCCAAAGTCCCTCCAACATTTCTGTCAGCCTGCACTCTGGCCTTCAGATGGCGACACCCCTGCCAGTTAGACAGAGAGGTGGAGGATGTTTTGGAGCCAGTTTGAAATGTAAATATAGGAGGGATGTTGGGAGCATCCTTGGATACCCAGTGTGGTGCAGCAGGTAGAGCAACGGACTAGGGCTCTGTTCAGTCATGGAAACTCACTGGGGGCATGGGACTGGTAAAGCCATCCCTTAAACATCTAACTTACCTTGAAAGTCCTGTTAGGGCTGTGATAAGTCAAAAACTGCTTGAAGGCATATAACAACAACAACGCATACTTGGGATACAGCTGTTTTGCTTTGGAGATGTGAGACAAGACTGATGGCTGAATCATCTACTTGTAGGAGTTTTATTTGCTTTATATATGGTCTGCTTAATGTATGTGTAAATGGAGGAAATGTTCCATTATGACATATGTCTTCTGTGTTCTCTGATTAGGAAGGAAATTAAACCTATACAATCCTTGAAATTTTTCATCACTTGATTAGGTGAGGGGTATTTCATAAAAGACAGAGGAAGACCATATGGACCATTTAGTGCACCACTAATTAAAAGTTCAGAACATTTCTAACTTTTCTGAGTGATGATGATTTTGTAACGTTCTAATAATAATAACTTCTTTCCCACAGCTCAGCTTCTGCTTCAAACATAAATTATATGCCTAAGCAGGCTGAGCACACTCTCTGGCTTTAACAAAATGTCCCATCTCCCTTCTTGTAGCTGCTGCCACAATCTCTGCAGTGCTTCAGAGATGCATGTATTCTTTCCCCGCTTCAACAGAGATTTAAATTCTTACCAGCAGTAAAACTGAAGGCTTCCCAAGAAGGGCCAGTGCAGTCGACAACTTTCTGTTGGTGCCGTAGCTACACATGGAAGTGATTCGGTGCCTGTACGGCATCAGGTTAAGTCGATAAAGAAGCTGAAGTACGATCTGTGCAAACAATACAGTTTTTTTAAAAAAAAATTAAAAAGTGGTATTGAAATATTGTCATTGTGGATGCCAATGAGTTGCAGGAATGACAACATGACAGCATAACCATTACCTCCCACCAATTAGGCAAATGAGTTACTTTGCCCATTTTACGAACATGTTGTTTTGCTTCTCAACTGTCTGCCTCCCCCATTCCAGCTCAGCCTCAGTGTTAGCTAATCAGCAATTTTAAACTTGCATACATTTAAATCAAACTTTGCTAAATTTACAGCTAACAGAAATAACAACCCTCATTTCTGCTTATCCTGTCTTGCCAAATTAAGCAGTAAGTCTTGAACTCTGAAGCTGCAGATGTATTTATAGCCGCCTTGTGCTAAAGAAAACCATCTTGGCTCTTTGTGTAGCTCCTCCATCAAACTGGAGTTAGCAGATACAAGAGGCCCATGTTTGCAAGACACAGGTTAAACTCTGTTGAGTGTTTGTGCAACTTCTTCTGCAGCAGCTACAGTCTGGCATTCTCTTCTCCTCCCACCCTGCAGTCCCTTTGTCAGACAAAAATCAACCCTGTATGACAAAGGAGTCGATAGGAATTACAAGGAAAGGGACATGGTAACAGCCTCCTGCTTTCATTATACCGTATTTTTCTATGTATAAGACGTGACCTCTTTCTAAAATCATTACACTAAAAATTGAGGGGAGTCTTATACATGGAAGTAAGCTGAGGAGAGAACAAAACGACTCGTACCTTGCCTCTTTAAACAGGCTTCCTTTAATCATGAGGCTTAGATTCCTACAGTCAGGAGACTTAGCTTCCTCCAATCACAAGCCTTATGGAACTGATGTCAGCTGATGCTGAACAAACCAATTGGAACACACCTCGTTGGAGGTAGAGCCTATAGGCTCAGATGCAACAGGGACTCATAATGTCCAAACGTTCTGCGCCCAGAGGCTGAATACTCAAAGCTAAGTTTTCTTAATTTTTGAGTTAGAAAAGTGGAGGGTTTTTTCTTCTTATAAATGGGGGTGTCTTATAAACAGAAAAATACAGTAGGTGTATTTTTCTTCAGGTGAAAAGCAACAGTCCCTTCTATTATGGGTGAAGCAGTTAGCCAGCTTGCTTTACAGTTAGCCCTACCTGAATGCCATTAGGTTTACCCTATCCTGAACATTGTAATAGGGCTAATACTGGCCTGTTGATGTTGAGGATTTGCTTGTTTGCCTTTCTTCTGTCCCAGGTCCACTGTCCCCTTTTTTATGTTCGCAGTAAGGTATGCCTATTTATACAATCAAATATGTTCCCATCCCATCTTTATTATTATTTTTTTTAATGCAGAATCACTTTCTTTTTCACTTTTGAAAATTGCTTTGGGAGGAGAGTGACCTCTGATGTTCCCAGCCAGGCAGCGCCATGTCTAACATCTGCTGTTGCAAGCCGAAATAACAGCTTTTTCTGATCTCAGTGCAAAGGGAATATTAGATATCTGACAGCTGTACAGCCAGAACTGAGCTCTTCCAAAAACGATGTGAGAAGATAGAATACCAGGTGTTCCAATACAGCCCAAAGCAGAGAGGAGCTTCGGCTGTTTCCTCCTAATTCCAGGAGTGCAGGCCATCTCTTCACCTTCAACTCCAAGTGTCACCTCAATTATATAATTGGTACTATGCCTTATTTGTATCTCCAGCATCATACTTCTTTCTCTCTCTATTAGGCCTCCATGTATCTGGATTGTGAAGACATTCAGCGAGAAGATCAGCTCTCTATAAGTCTTCATATTTGCATTTTAGAAAACTTTTTTCTCCCTAAAGTTTTTCAAGTAAGCAAATATTATTTAATCTTATTGGAAAATAAGACCATTCAGTTAAAGGTAGGGACCACTGGAAATGAAGTATCTCAAGACATTTTTTATTTTATTTTATTCCATTTTATTTTTGCTGGCGAAATGAAAAGTGAGATATTTTTTCTTAAAAAGAACCAGAGTGGATGAATTATTCTGAACTTGCTGACTGAACTCTTGCAAAGGCAGATGACATTTCTTTGCGTTTAAACCAAAGAATACAGTTTAAACCCATAGGAAAAAATTGAGGTCAAAATGTGCCTGGCAATTTAAATTTCAATCCACAGCCTTCACACTAAGTCACTTTATTTGATTTCACTACATTTTCAAGAGTGTTATCTATCATTATTTAGCACTGCATTTATGCATATGTAACAACACATTTTAAAATTCCTTTCTCGAATGAATTTTAAGATGATTTGTTGAGCTTATTCGTTTATGCAATTGTCTATTTATTGATTTTAAAAGACACAGTTTGCTGTCCTTGATAAAATATCAAAATATATTAGCCTTTTGAAACTCTTAGTACTTTTGCCATGCATCTGATCAATATACAAATTTTTATAACACACATATGTCAGTATGGTTCCACCTGAATTTTACTTACCCCTTTGATATGTTTCTCTGGGATACCATGTAATCGAGCATAGTAAAACATGTGTTCTTCTACTGTAAGCAAATCATCTAGGGCATCTTCTTGAGGACAGTACCCAAATAATGACCAGTGTCCATCATCAATATCCTTCAAGGATCTGAATTGCAAAAGTGTATTTTTTAAGATTTGAGGGGCATCTGTTCCAAAAGATTAAGGTTAACTAAAAGCAAGAAATCAACTCATGAGCATGTTTGCAGAACTGTTTTTCTTTGCCTCCCTTTCTATCCAAGCACCATTTCCACACACATCTGGGCTTCCACAGGTAGCTAGCACGCACGCATGCACGCACGCACGCACGCACTCACTCACGCACGCACGCACGCACTCACTCACTCACTCACTCCTTCCTTCCTTATTTTTCCGTAGCTTCGTTTTTCCACACTTAATTTTATTTCAGTCTGGTTACGGCCTTATTTCTTCAACTATAAGCCTTATTGTGCACTAAAGAAAATGAACTAATCTTTCATACCCAGTTTCGTCACGTACTAGTAGCCTTCCACAAGAGGGCCCGATGTCTCCTGTCAGCATCTTGAAGATGGTGGTTTTCCCTGCTCCATTTACACCAAGGAGGCCAAAGCACTGGATTGTAAGGGGCAAACAATAGCTTTATTAATAGCACATTCCTAATTTCATTGATGTAAACAGACAACTAGAGTGAGAATGGATATGAAATGCAAAATCTGACTTGGTACATTCATAGTTTTATCAGCTCAAACGAAAAATAAATAAATAAAGGAAGCACACTTGGAAATCTGGCTGTGATCTATGGGCTTTATCAAAGAGATGTAGCTCAACTTATGTGCATCAATGTTGAGACAACAAGAGTAAGACTTGGTCTCAAGAGGAGAAAGACAAAGTCGTTTAGCCAGGACCAGATCAAGGCATTTTGCTGCGTGAAACAAAGGACCAAATAATTTGCTTTCTGCAACCAGGATGAAGTGAAGGTGATTACAGAGAATATTAACAATCTATAGTATAGAGTTCTACTGACTTATTAATTTTTTTAAAAAAATTTAAACCACCCATCTGGCAGTCAAGTCCACTCTCGGCGGTTTACAACAAATTAAACATTATTAAACAGTAACATAGTGACAAGGATATATACAAACAGACCAAATAAAATATTAAAAATACAAAATGAAAAAGAGTAAAAAAAAAATACACAGTAAAAAAATAATAAAATAAAATTTAAATGGAAACATGGTGGTAGGTTAGATATTAAATTATTGAGGCACTATTGTATCATGCTGTTTTAAGATCCGAGAAGGCCTGTCTGAATAGCCATGTTTTAAATAGTTTTTTGAAGGTTCCCAATGAGGGGGCCAGGAAAATTTCAGGTGGGAGAGTGTTCCACAGTTGTGGGGTGACCGCCAAGGACATGCACAATGTTAGTGTGCCCAACTGTGACACTAATAGCAGTATTAGCAGCAGCAGCAACAAAAATCAAGACTCTTCTGGCTACAAGGAGGAGTTTGGGAGTTGTTGCCTAAATTGTACATTTTCTCAGCTCTTGTAACAGCGGCAGCAATAGCAATAAGCAATGCAGCAGCAATGACAGCTTCCTTTTAGTTTGGCCTACCTCCCCTACTGGGATTCCAACGCTGACATTTTTTACAGCTACAATCCTTCGGTGGGGAAGATGGTAGACTTTGGTGAGATTCTGGAGTTGCAACATGTCATCATCTCCTAGGCCCAGCGCAACTCGCTCTCGTTCTGCTTGGACATCCTTGTCTTCCTCTTCATCAAAGGCCTCCAGTTGGAGTGGAGGCTTGCCATGTACTTTGTCAAATAGGAATCTAGCACAGTGGAAGACACGTACTGTTAGTTTACCTCCCTCATGTTAGATTACATTGGAGGCTAGGCTGGGAATTTGTTGAAACACAGGTATAAATCCATAAATAAATAACATCTTACAGGAGGATCACAGCTGCTCACTAAAGACATCTCCTCAAAAGAGAATCAGGGAGTGAAAGATTATTTTCTCTGGATTATGATTCTCAGAATGTTTCCCCAGTGTGTAGCATAATACTTCTTCACAAAGCATATAATTAATTTATGGAATTCACTGCCAAAACATGGCCACTGCCTAAGATAACTTTAAAAAGAGCACAGACAGATGGATAGGTGTAAAGTATACTAATGTTTGCCACTTATGAGAGATAAGCAGAGCCTCCATACAAGGTATTTTTCAGTGCTGTACGCTGGTCAATTTGTGTTTTCATTGTTTTTGAGTTTTTTGAGGATCCTTAATTTTGTTGATCACTGTGCTAGAAGAGCATTTCCAGGGCTGGGGTGTTAGTTTAAACATTTGTGATCAAAAGCTTAAGAGTATGTTTGTTTGATTAATCTGATCGTTCTACAAAGCAGTTGTTTCCAGAATTTTTTTAAAAAAAATCAAATTAAAAAGCATCATGCTCACAGGCTGGCTGTAATGAAGTGCTAGATGGGTGTGTGTGTGTTCTTTTTAGAGAAGCATTTTCTTTTGATATGTAAAAACAAATCACTGATATACTGGTGCCCAATATATACTGTAGAAAAGCAAAGTGTTTGAAGTTTTAGATGTTTTGTGACTGGGAAACATCTTCCTGTTGTGCCTAGTAATACTTGAATCAAGAGGTAACTGACACAATCCAGTTGGGGAAAGCAATGTTCCACTGATTTCTCAAGTGGGAGAGATTTACATGTTTTCTTAAGTCTGTTGAGCGAATCTGTGTAACTTATTACTTAACCTTTCCTAAGTTATGTCCTAACACAAATATTCCCATGCATTAATATTTAGCATTAATTTCAGTGGCTGTGATGGCTGAAGAGCTTTCCTCAATCTAGGTGTTCTCTGAGAAGACAAAAAGCATGACTACAGAAGAACTATACAACTTGAGCATTGACTATGAAAAAATTTGAAATAATTGGAGATTTTGTATATCGTAGTTCAGTCATCAATCCAAATGGAGACTGCAGCCAAGAAATTAGAAGAAGATTGAGACTCAGAAGGGCAACAATGAAGGAACTAGAAAAGATCACCCACACTCCTGTATTCCCAATCACCATGTATGGGTGTGAAAGCTGGACAGTTAAGAAAGCTGACAGGAAAAAAAATTGATTCATTCGATATATGGTGTTGGAGGAGAGCTTTGAGGATACCCTGGATTGCTAGAGAGATCAGGAAATGGAAGAAGATTGAGACTCAGAAGGGCAACAATGAAGGAACTAGAAAAGATCACCCACACTCCTGTATTCCCAATCACCATGTATGGGTGTGAAAGCTGGACAGTTAAGAAAGCTGACAGGAAAAAAAATTGATTCATTCGATATATGGTGTTGGAGGAGAGCTTTGAGGATACCCTGGATTGCTAGAGAGATCAGGAAATGGACCCAAGATCCAATCAAGTCTGAAATATCTCTGAAAGCAAAAATGTGGACACTGAAGCTCTCCTACTTTGGGCATGTCATGAGAAGAAAGGGTTCTATGGAAAGGACAGTGATACTGGGAAAGGTGGAAGGCAGCAGAAAAAGAGGAAGACCAAATACAAAATGAACTGACTCTCTACAGGAACCACAGGCTTGAGTTTACAAGAGCTGAGCAGGACAATTGAAGACAGGGTGTTTTGGAGATCACTCATTCATAGGGTTGCTGTAAGTCAGAGGCAACTTGACAGCATATAAGGACAACAATAGATGTTCTCTAGTTGAAGTATATGGCCTAAATTCAGTAGTTATTCCTACTGAATTTGTTCAGTGAATACTTAAATAGTTCTGCTCAGGACTAACAACTGGATTTAGCATAGTGGAACTAATAGCAGCATTTATACATGTCTGCTCAGAAGGAAATGACGTTCAATCAGGTTATTCTCAGGAAAGTACAGTCCAAGAGCTCATCCACACAAGGTACATGGCTACATTTAATGTGGATTGGAACTGTAGTCTTTCTCATAGACCCAAAATGACTCATTCCAGACTTCTATTGCTGTTTCGATTTCTCCTATTAACTGTAATCCAAGTGGAGTTCCCATCCTATAAAAGGTCCCTTCCCTTTCTCCAACATTTTCCTTCCTTCCCTCCTGTGCCTTATGCACAAACGGTGCCCTTTTATGAACAATGGAGCAGGGTGGAATCCTTTTCAGAAGTCAAAGGGATGAATATTTAAGGATAGGTGCAGGAAACATAGAAGGTGAGCTTGGAACTATTAGCTCTTTTTTCTTGCAGGGTAAACAGTGTGTTACATTGATCCTACTGGACATGACACAGAGGGTGAGAGGCAGCTGTGCTGGAGAACAATATCCTCACTCCTCCTGCCATTTAGAGAGGCAGCAAGGCAGCCTTGCTCCATGTTGAGAAGAGCACTCTCACAAATGACATCACAGCTTATGACATGGAAGTTCTAATTCTACATGGTATCACAAGAACCACACTTCCTCAAGACAAGGGAACTGACAGGAATAACACATCTGTGAGGACTAAGCCTGGGGTGAAAAACAGCTCTCCAAGAAGGAAAATAATTCAGAAGCAGAAGGGAAAAGGAAGAGACCAATTTGAGTATCAACTGATCTCATGCAGAGCTGTTAAACTATTCCAAATCAATAGGCAGCTGAACCACATCTTAACAGAAGCAAAAAGGATGTGCAGATGGGTTCCAAAATAGGACCACAATCTCAACTGGCTTCTAAACTCCAAGGACTAATTGCTTAAGATTGTTTGGGGTAAAGGTCTGCTAGAAGACCAGCTCTCTCTTATTTTTAGATATTTCCTAATATTGTTGCTCCTTCTGGTTACTGTCATGTAGCAGAAACTATGTGGTAAATTCATTTTATAACTCCGTGCATTTTATGCTCAGAAGATTAATTGCAATGGAGGATGGAGCAAACTTAACAGAATTATTACTAGAACAAGAATTTAAGAAATAAATTACTGCAGTTTCATTTTTGTGCTGTATTGTCCTCATATATTTTAAATTCCTTGTTATTAATGCAAATCACAACAATTTATATAGTATCACATGTGCTGTCTTTCAATATTTGCCAAGGCCCCTTTCTCCAGCTGAGTGCCACTTACTCTAGTATCTTATACCAGACTTTCTGAATAGTCCCATCATCAACCAAGAGGCGGATTGAAAAGAATATAGTTCCCTGGATGAACATCCCAAGCAGCTTGGAGCTTATCCTGTCCAGCTCAAAAGTTTTGTTTGGGTAGACCACTCCGTATGCCTTTAGAAAACCCATCAGGGCTTGATGCTGTGACAGTTCAATCAGCCCATATCCAAAGCAGAATTGTGGGAACATCAGGAAAACATGCCTCAGAGTTTCAGCAAGGTCATGCAAGCCCTGAAATAAATAAAAATGTTCCTGGTTATTGTGACTCTGTTTTCTGGCTATAAAATATGTTGTACATATTTTTTAAAAATCTGCATAATATTACGCGCAACACAGAATTTCATAGTAAAATGTTCATCCTAAATATGGTGGTAGTGAAGAGGACTTGCATACTGAAGAGGAACCTTCTAGGCATGTTTGTGTGTGTCGCACACAAACCTATTTTGGCCCTTCTTCATCAATGGGCCTTTTTCAGTGGAGGCCCAAACAACCAACACTAACAGAATAAGGAATATTTCCTCCTACCCCAATGAGGGGTATCCAAGAATGAGACCTAAATGAAAAACAATAAATAGTTGTATATTGTGGCCACATGATTACACAGGAATTGCCTTGCCTTAGATGGTTGACTCCCTGCCTCATCCCAACACACTTGCTCTTCTTCTGGCCCTCCCCTCCTGGTACCTCACACATCTGGAGCAGGCCAGACTGGGGGACATGGTTTTATGTCTCAAGCTTGGTTATAAATTTATTCTCACTAACATGGATAGTCACATATAAGTCAGGCTTTGGTTTGCTGAAAAATGTGAGGCTTTTCAGAGAGAGAGGTAGAGAAAACTGGAAAGTAGAACAGAGTCTTGTGCTACCTTTCTCCCTCCTTTGTTTATCTCTGCTTATCTGTCCTTTGGACTTAATGTGAGTTAGGAAAGGGAAAGAGAGCAGTTAGCTGCTAAAAACTAAGACAGATAAAACAGTTGATGGAGAAAGTTAGACACCTAGACAGCCATTCCCTCTCACCTCTTCTCTCTACAAAAGGCTCCCCCAGACAGGAGCTCTCCAAAGTCTCAACAAATGTTTGTTTGTTTGCTTGCTTGTTTATCTGGGTAGTTTACAACATTATAACAGTATAACATAATAAACAGCAATTTAAAAACAGTGAACTTAATAACTATAGAAATCAAAATTAAACAGATAAACAAACCAACATAAAATTAACTAGAAATAATTACAGTATAGTAATATGAAGGTAAGGGGCGGAACTGATACTATAAATGCTGAAACAGCCTCTGTGTTAAGATGTTATAAGATCCAGGAAGGCCTATCTGAAAAGCCATGTTTTCAGTTATCGTTAAAACTTTTCCAGTTGCAGAGGCCAGGTGAATTTTGGGAGGGAGATTATTGCAAAGATGGGGAGCAACTGCTGAATAGGCCCAGTTTTTGGTCCGCCCTTTCCAAGCCTTTCTCAGGGTCAATACTCCCAACCTCCTGGCCCGGGAAGATTGTGTATGACAAGCAGATCTCATTGGAAGGAGGCAATCTGTCAGATATAAAGGTCCCAAACTACTTAGGGCTATGTATGTAAACATCATTGTTACATACAGCTGTGACATCACCTGCCCGTCACTGCTGAAGCTGTGTGTCATCTACCAATGGCGTGACGGAGGGTGGGACATAAGGGGTGGAGCTGTTGTATATAAGGGGAGTGAATGGTGTGAGGGTTTCAGATAGATTCCAATAGGGCCAGGTAGGGCTTAGAGATAGGGTTGAGATAGGGAGATAGGGCTTGGAGATACTGTGAGATAAGAACTGTGCTACATAGTGAGGGTCTGTGAGAGTGCGTGTGATTGTTATATTATTATAGTGATTAAAGTATTATTTATATTCAAGTGATTTACCATTCCTTTTGTTTGTATACAATAAACCTAAGTTTTTATTTTGAAATCATACTTTGGCCTGAAGCTTTATTTGAGGGAATGGTTGGTGGCAGTGGAAACGAAGAGTGACATAACGGCCCCTTTGTGAGGTATAAGGAGGCTGTTATAATCATCACTTTGAAGCTGGCATGGAAACAAACAGGTAACCAGTGCAGTGCAGCCAGAATAGGGGAGATATGATGGTATTTCTTCATACCACTCAATAGTCTGGCCACCATATTCTGGACCTGTTGGAGCTTCCATAGCACCCTCATAGGCAGCCCCACATAGACAGCATTGTAGTAGTCTAATTTTGAGACTATCAGTGTATGGACCAGTGTAGTGAAGGATCCGGTGTCAAGGTAAGGATGCACCTGAGCAATCCACCACAGGTGGAAATAGGTGCAGCAGACCACAGACGCTAACTGGGACTCCATTGATAGTGCTCAGTCCAGATGTACACTCAGACTGCAAACCTTATCCTTAGCAGAGAGAGTAGCCCCACTCCAAATGAGAGGCAGCCCCCAATCTGCAGACACTACAGGCACCCACCCACAAGACCTCCGTTTTGTCCAGGTTCAGCCTCAGTCTATCATCCCTCATCCACCCCAGCTGTGCCCAAGGGATGGGAAGACTTCCTCTCCAGAGGGGTGGAAGGAGAGATAGAGCTGGATGTAATTGCACATTGGTGACGTGAAGCTCCAAAGCTCCTGATGATCTCCCCCCAATGGTCTCATATACATATTAAGCAGCATTGGGGAGATGATTGACCCTTGTGGGACTCCACAATTGAAAGTCCAAGGGGTGAATATCATCTTTCCAAGTTGTATTTGCTAGGGACGGTCCTCTAAGAAGGACTGGAGCCAGGCCAAAGCCAGGTCACTGATCCCTAACCTGGAGAACCTCACCAGGAGGATACTGTGGTTGACGGCATTGAAAGCTGCTGAGTGATCAAGAAGGACCAGCAAAGACATGTTTGTCAGGAGGATACTGTGGTTGACGGTATTGAAAGCTGCTGAGTGATCAGTCTCTTCCAGGAGTGCCTGTAGCTGGTTGGCTACCCCACTCTCCATTCCCTGTCAGTCTCCCTCAAAAGGTCATCTTTCAGAGGTACCAATGCCATCTCTGTGTTCTGGCGTGGCCTGAACCCAGGCTAGAATAGGTTGAGGACATCAGTCTCTTCCAGGAGTGCCTGTAGCTGGTTGGCTACCCCCCTCTCCATTATCTTGCTTTAAAAAGGAACATTGGTGATGGGTCTGTAGTTGTTCATATTGTTAGATTTTTTTTACAAAGAAGCAAGATAAGCTGGGGGGACCCTGCTCTCAAGGAGACACCCATTAATACTAGCAGTGGCCCACTCCAGTGTTACTGGCCTGGCAGCTTTTATGAGCCAGCCTGGGTCAGGATCTAGGGAGACTGCAGTGGCCCTGCAGCGATCAAGCACCCTGTCAACCTCTACTGATGTCACAGGTTGAAGTTCTGTTAGACTCACCAGACAAGATAAGCTGGGGGGACCCTGCTCTCAAGGAGACACCCATTAATACTAGCAGTGGCCCACTCCAGTGTTACTGGCCTGGCAGCTTTTATGAGCCAGCCTGGGTCAGGATCTAGGGAGACTGCAGTGGCCCTGCAGCGATCAAGCACCCTGTCAACCTCTACTGATGTCACAGGTTGAAGTTCTGTTAGACTCACCAGACAAGGCAGTGCAGTTGGATGTCTCGACTTGATCTACTGGAGAAAAATGGTGGTCAAGGTCCCAGTGGATGTCCTCACGTTATGTTTAAAAAATGCCACAAACTGGTCACAGGAAATATTGGGATGCCTGTCACTGTGACCAATCCCGGATAAATTGCATACTGTGTGAAATAGTTCAGCCTGATGGTCTTGGAATGCCACAAACTGGTCACAGGAAATATTACTGGGATGCCTGTCACTGTGACCAATCCCAGATAAATTGCATACTGTGTGAAATAGTTCGGTCTGATGGTCTTGCACTTTGCTTATCTGGGTAGCAAAGTATGTTCTCCTTGTGAGCTTTAACCTAGCTAAATAGATACTTGATGCAATTTTCAGTCATGTATGGCTCGTTCTCGAACTATAATCCAGAACATCTAGAGGGCATCAGCTTCAGCTGGTCTGTTCAGCAACCTTTGTGGTTTCCTACATGGCTGCCTTACACAGGTGAGTTTTTTCACTGGTGAATTTGAAAGTAGCCAGACTCTCCAGAGAGGACACTTCACACGGGACCTGCCAATACCTGTACCCCACAGCTTGTCATTCACACAGCAACCTCTAGGCTCTGTTTCTTGCAGTACAACGCTAAGCATATTTACTAAAAGGTAAATGTCATTTAATTCAGGTGGAATTATTCCTTGTTTACAATTACAGCTTGAGGCACACTTTCGTGGGGGTCAGACCCACTGAACATAGCCAGAATCGGTTCAGAGTAGATATGCATGGGGTTACCTAGAGTAGAGGACAAGACTGTGGACTTCCAGATGCTGCCAGATTAAATTTTTAAGTGTTTCCCTAGCGTGCCTCTACGGCATTACCATATTTCCACTGTGCATAGCCTGGAAATGACCCTTTGCTCCAGGTGCTATTCAAGACACATTTACACCAAAATAAGCTGTTTCAGGTCAGCCAGTAGACAACAAAAATCTGATGCTGCAGATGGTGCCAGGCTGTAGGCTGACACAAAACTCCTGGCAGCTGTTCGGAGAAGGGTACATGTGGAAATAACATTTGACATGTAGTGAAAAGTTGGTCTTTGTGCCTAACACCTATACGTCTTGTCATGAAGAATGAGTAATGCAGCTGACATTTGTATTGGGAATGTCAGATATGCAATAAATTATCATGGGAAGAAGGAGCCTGGAGACCAGGCAGGGACACATCAATGTCAATCAAAAAACCTTCCCTGCTTTTGGCCACAAAGATTTTGTAAACTCTTTCTCTTTTTTTAAACTGATCAAGCACTTTTAAAGAAAGTGTGGAATGCTTATTCAGAAAAAGACATATGTCCGTAATAAAAGCTGACAAGCAGGTCCATTATAAAACAATGGTTCTCTTTAAGGAGAAAAGGATTGTTTAAGAGCTTTTTATCTCCCAAGTTTCAGTATGGTGGAGAATACTCTTCTTTCCTCTTCAGACATTAGTAACAGTCCAATCATTCTTATAATCTTATTTCACTTTTTAAAAGTCTGTTAAGCTGCAGCCTTTATTAGGGATGGAATTTTTTTGGACTACAAATATTATAATTCTCTGTTGTGGGTGTTCTACCAGTCTTGCAAGCACCTTATAAACATCTCAGTGTGATGCACCTGGGAGAAAGGCATAAATTGGAAGGCTCTGAGGCCAAGGTCTGCACAAGGTTCCTGTTCCTACCCCGGTGCTACCTGGGAGCTTGGCCTCGCTAGACCTCTAATTTAGGCTTTCCCCCTCAGTGTATCACATCGAGGTATTTGTAAGGTGCCTGCACAAAACAGGTGAAACTCCCAGAATGGAGAATCATGTTATTTGTAATCCTGAAAATCCAAAAATCCCAACCCTAGTCTTATGTATCAAAGCATTGGTCCCAGTAGCCAAAGGAAGGGTGCCATTTTGGTACAAGAATACACATTTTCTCACTGAGCATTGCACCATGCTGAGATCAATTAGTTTATAATTTCAAACCCCCTTAGTTTGCCATGCTGTCGGCAGTAGTGTTGATCTTCAATTAAAAGTCAGAACAATTTCTCCAGCTGCCAAAAAACTCATTTCTCAAAACCCAAGAGTGTTGTCACTTCCATCTTCCAAACAGATAAGAAGAATAGGTACTGAACCACACTTCGATCCTGTTCCTATTATATACTGAATGATTTTTATCAGTTGACAATAATATATTTTAACATTAGGAATTAACTAAAACAGAATGCGAACCAGTGTAGCATAGTAGATAGAATGACAGACTAATACTCAGGAGAAATGGGTATAAATCCCCACAGGATCTGGCCATGGAAACTCACTGGAGATGTGGAACTGTGAAAACCACTCCTTAAATATTTCATATAAACCCTTTTTTGTCATTGAACCTTATATCAAAGCAATTATCAAGATATTCAATGATGATATGTAGAAGTATAAGTCGAATCAAACTCAACAATATTGTGTTGTGATATGATTTGTCTCAAAAACATAGTCGTAATCAGTTTAATTTGAAGTAGAAGAGTATTTTCCCCCTCTCCTCCCAAAAGGGGAATGGATTTTTCACCCTGATACAGATGTTATATATGAAAGTTAATTACATGCTTGCAGGACATTTACCTGATCAGTGGCCTTTTCTTGGGAAAGCAGAAACACAACTGAGTGAGTAATGATTGTATTGATGCCGAAAAACAAGTTGATACAGACATATACTATAAAGGCCATTCCAGTTTCCTTGAAGATTCCAGCTAGCAAATACATCCATGAAAATGTTGCATAGCTACAGGAAGAAATAACAAAATCAAGACCAGCCAACTGCTTCATTACTACTTTATACTTTTTGTCCAGGTTTCTGTGAGAAAATCTTGATTTCAAGCTAAGAATCTTCTGTTTTTCACCTATTTTGTTAAGGATCAAAGGAATAATAAAACTGCTTAATGTTGACCATAGATTTTCTTGAAATGTGTAATAAGGACAAAAAGATGGGGAGGAAATCAAGTTGACCTAGGGGTAGAGCGGTCATTATGTTAATTTTAATTAACAAGCAGCTAATTGAGTTCAGTCTGATATTTATAATTCATTATTCTATTAATTTACTAATGCGTGACTTTCTACTAAAATGATTCTAGTATCTCTCTGTCTAAAATGTGAAGAGCTAAAATGTATACAAATGTAAAAATATATGCAACTATGCCTTAGTCAATGGGAGAAATGCTTAACTGAGGTAAAATGTGTAAATAAACACACACATTAAGAAAATGGGCTTTGAAATTTGCATGAATTTCCATGCATTCCTCCTCCAACTGTCATAATCCAATATAAAATCAGTGTCAAGGTTTTAAATTCTGAATGCTATTTAAGGCAACAATAGAAAATGCAACCATGAAAATGTACATTTGAGCTTTTAAAATGAGGTTTGAACAGCAGTTTACTAAAAGTTACTGCAAAACAAGCCAGCTCTCCAGCCAAGTGAGAGGGAAAAAATCCTAGACCCAAAATGTGGATAGAAGAAATTGGAAAAGCACTTTACACCCATGTCATTTTTTTCACCCAGTAAATTACTATGGGGACAGTTAAGTTATTCTCACAGATGCTGGGATACCAGTTAGTCAAAATAAAGGCTATTTATCTGCCCTAGTGGCAACTTGCAAGGCTTGTAAAATAATGATTTCCACAGAAAACTTTCCAGCTGTTCATGGATCAATATTTTACTACATCAGCAAAATCCAATTATTTACAGTTGAAGAGAAATGTAAAAATCTGAGGGAAATATAAATATAGGGAAGCAAGAGATGCGTGTCACTATATTTATATTGCCATGACATGCAACACACATGCCACACATACACCAGATACCAACCTCTGAAACTGAGCACCAGACATCAAAGAGCAATAATGTATAGCAGCACAGCAGCAAGACATCATGGATTTTCCTCCATAGATTCAAACTGATTTGGCAGAGTGAGTACTGAGAATAATTTTCATGTGTGTCCATTAATATGCTTAAAAGCTAATGAATGCTCAAAGCTATAACACTATAATACTTCTATTTTTTTAATTATGTGTTTTATAGATGTATTCTCTCCTTTTTAAAATTATGGCTTTTATGATGCAGCATTTTGGATTGCAATGTGACTTATGTATTTGCCTGCAACTTAAATTCCCATATACTTTTAAGCATTTGTGTGTACAGTTTTTCTCATACCTGTAAGAACATTTTCAGTAAATTTTGAATTTGGATTCATTTTAGGTATATGGAATAGAGACGGGAGTATTCCTATTCGTATATGAATATCCCTGCACAGCTGGACTTCACAAGGGTCCGGACTGTCCACTCATGTGTCTGGTGGCAGTGGCAGCCCCACTCATCCTTCCAATCACTTCCAGAGTGCTGCTCTCTTCCTTCTTAGCTAGCCACTCAGCAGCCATGCTGTGAAAATCGTCCTCCCTCCCCTTTCCTGGGGTGACTAGCTGAGCGGGAAGAAAGTAGGATGAGTGGGGCCGCTGCCACCACTGAGTGGGTGGTCCGGCACCAGGGGCTGGATCCTCATTAAGTCCAGCTGTGGGGGATATTTGTATTTGTATACAAATACCCCCATATATAATCTGGAACATAGAAGCAACACACATGAATCAAGCTTGAAGAAATAGACAAGCTGATGTAACCTGGAATCATTGCAACAATGTAGCAACATTTATCTTGATACCCAGATGAATTTTAATAGGAATGGAAATGGTTACAAGATTCATTCTAGAGCTAACTCTAAATGGGATAAAGGCCAGCCGAGACAAACACAGGCTTCTGATTCTTCCCAAAGGTCTATAAAGCTCTATAGGGCTCTTACATAGGTGTTCAGGTGTCAGACTTTCTGACCTGATCTATGAACAAGCAGAAAACACAAAAGCAATTCAGAGAAATGCCAGCCATATCAAGACTGAAAGGTTCTCCAGTGCCTATAGAGGATACTTTAGGATACTTTACCAGGTTAAGCAACCATAATGCTAGCAGAGGGTAAACAGACAGACAGTTAAATTAAGGTTGAGTTAAACTAAACCAAATCCTTACCCAAACAGGAAAAGAAGCAGGAATACAGCCAGCAGGTTATTGTCATTAAAGAACGCTGGTATCCGAAAAGCTGAAATTACTCCTACTGAGAGTGTAACAGGCACCAGAAAGTAAACCTGTGGAATGATTGCAATTACAGGTGATTATCATAATCCTAACACTAAACTCATTTTTATAGTCATACATGTGATTACATCTGGAGAGGATTTGACCTGTACTGTGGAGTATACACACCATATCTTTTTATACCATAACTACCATCTGTTGTTGTTTCACAGAATCACTAACATGGATGGGCCTACACAAATGTCTTTTGTCCAACTGGTTGAACACCAAAACCTGTCGACCAGAAACTAAAGTGGTTTGAGTTCAGACTGAAACTGAACCACATGGGGCTGCCAAGACTCACATCAGCTTCTGAAGGGCTAAAGGCGCAGGCCAAAGTGTGGCAGCTCTAGGAAAACTCACACAAGTTGACACCTCTCCTCACCAACTCCCTGTGCCATGAGTTTGTGGAAGTTAGTGGTGGTGACAATCTGCATGTATTCCAGGTGAATTTCCCTCCCACTCCCAGAGGAAGATCAAAGCTCAGTCATTCCTTGAGGTCTGAATGAAATATTGTTTTGGAATTTTGATATTTCAATTGTTGTTTGGCGTCCTTTCTTTCTGCAGCCAAGTGAAATGACTCGAGCACCATCTCGTTTTCTAATTAGCAGTAGTCTCAAGACTCCCCCATGTTTTCCCTTAGTCATGAACAAGGATTGCTTGTCACCAAGGCATTGCTGAAAAAGTATCAAGCTGCAACATACTGCCACATTAGTTTCAGCCTGCTGAATATTGATTTTGGTTAGATCACTGGGATGCTTTTAAGTGGGTGATTTATAAATATGCCGTTTCACAGCATACATGGAAGTATGAAGTAAGCAGGCCTACCACAGAGAGCTTACAGACAAAGAATTCATTTGTTTACTCCTTCAGACCTAACCAACTATATGTGGTTTGTAGTTTGTTTGATAAATGAAGGTGCATTGACCAATTAGAAACGGCTTGGGAGAATCCATGTGAGAAACCTGTACAGATTTATTCAACAATGTCAAGTAAGGAAAAAATAAGGTTACAGTCCTCATAAATGCTCTCTTAACGTCTTATAACCCTCACTTCTCTCACTTAACTGCTAGGACAGACAGTCATGCCCCCCTGGGCCAAACAACAGCTGTGAACCTGTCCAGTTCCTATAACTCCCCTTATCAGGTTTACTGGCCCTTTACAAGAGCACTGAACAGTACCTCATGGATCACGCAAAGCTTAAGGCTGAATCACTAAATACACAGTGTTGGATGTAGCTTCCTGCTACAAACTGTGCTGAACTGACTAGGAAAGCAGAATGATCTAGGAGGGAGACAAAAAGTCTATCAAAATAAAAGCGTTTCTGAGCACCTCACTGGAATGTCAGTCCTTTGATGATAAAAAGCCAGAGATGGAGAAGGGTTTGGTACATCAGAACAAGGAGGAAGAGACATAAGCAGCTGAAAGAGAGGCATAAATAAGACTTGCCTCATAGATTTTGTTGTTAATGTGGGCACCTTTCTTTCACTTTATTTAACCACCAATAAATTGTATTATGCTCTGAGTAAATGTGATATGATTTGATTTATTCATTCACTCTGGATTTTTGCAACTGGGAAACTGCCCTACCCAGAGTCAGATGTTTATTTATCTCGACCAGCATGGCTGATGCTGACTGTCAGTGGCTGTCAAGGTTTCTGAGCATCATTCCACAGAGCTGCAGTTCGAGGGTAGCACCTGGGGCTTTGTACCAAGGCACCAAAATCTAGAGGAGAATCCTAAGAAAATGAACAGCAACACCTCCTGGTCCAATTTCTTCCCATCCTTCCGTCTTTCTTTGAAAGCATACGTTTTCTCTTCCTTTGAGGGGGAACCACATTTCCTCCCTCCGTCTTCCTGAACGGGTTCTCTGGCCTTTGTGTCACTCTGGTGGAGTGGCTGGGAGACCGTGCCATTTTCACCGAGTACCAAAATGGTTAATGGCAGGACTGGATGTTGGCCACGGAACCTGGGACCATTTACATGGAAGAAAATGTACTCTACTATCCAGCTACAGCAATTTCTTCACCTAATTATCTTATCTAGAATGCAGTGGGACACTGGAAATAGGCAATGTAATTCTTGTTCCTGTTTTTGAACATATCAAAACCACACAGATCTAAATAGAGCTTTGAAGCTGCTGCTAAAATACAGCATAATATCTGGGCTTTCTTCAGTCAGAATAAATCACCTGGATTCATGAAAGAGTTGCTGAGTCTCTCTAGTATAAGACAAAGACCCAGTTTATAAATAGGGATGGGGAAACCTGTCTGTTTTCATGCTGGTTATTTAGTTATTTTTCCAAACTTGATTTCAAATAAATTTATCATTTCCCCCACCCCCCAATGTTCGTACAAAAATATGGTAGATATGCATTTTTATGTACATTTATCTTTAATGACCTTGCTTTTACTAAAGCACACAACTGCAAGAAATATGTATGTATAATGTGTTTTCTGTGTCATTTTAGTAATATGTGCATTTTTATGTTCACTTTCCCTAACATATATGTCGTTATGTATATTACCTAAAGACATATATGTCTGTATGTAAATTACACAAATAATTTTTTTTTGAAGACAAGATGAAATATTGTCCCTCTCTAGATGTTTTGCCACTATCAGACCTAAGCACCATAGCCAGGAGAGAGGAATTATGGGATTTGTAACTGCTAGTAGTTTAACTTTATTTTATTCTCAGTTTTACTAAGTACCTGGAGTTCCCACTGAATTAAAAGGCTGATGAACAAACATGACCTAAACATGAAATAAGAGATTGCTGGAGCAGGCTCCCAAAGATATCAGGGTCTATAAAGCTGAAATTCAGCTTCAGGAGGCTGAACATTTGAATTTAGCTGCCCATGTGGGAAATAAGGATGGTTGGTTCTTTTCCTCAAGCCCAATCTCCAATCAATGTTCAATCAAAATCTTCCCTAGAGGTGTTATCCCACCTGTGGTGAAGATGATATGGGTTTTTCTTTGAAGGAAGGAAAGCAAAGAATGATTAAAACAAGGGAATTTCATTCTAGGTATGTTTTCATGCTGTGGCCTTTTTCACTGTAACTTGTGAACCTGAACATGCTAACAAAATGCAGGTTTGTCAATCTGTGAAATATTGCTTGTCCCTATAAAAATGTCTATGTTTTGAGACCCAGGATCTATTTTTTTTAAGTAACCAAGCCTCTAAAAAGAGGGAAAGCTTCCAAAAGTGGAATAATATTGGAATATTATCTATTCCAAAGTATTTTTTTGAAATAGATAATATCCATGAAAGGAACAAATATGGTTGGGTATACTTTTGCAGATTTTTTGCTATGCTATTAATTCTTTTTGTAATATGAACAGAGGTTTTCTGTGTTAAAGTTTGGAAGGCAAGGTCACAGGCAACAGCCACTACTAGCCCTTATATGGAGTCCCGGACAATATCTAGCACAGAACGACTTTTAGACCGGCCTTTTTGCCTTTGCTTCTTTGCAATTTAACCTAAAGGCAATTTTTCTGCCTACAAGTTAAAAATAAATTGAAGTCCTGACCTTAATAGCACACTGATCTTTTATAAATGTGCTGAATGTTATGCATACTGTATGGTGCAGCTGAAAAGGAAAGGAGGGAGGGAGGGAGAGATTCCCTATCTTGGCATATATATACAGTATTGCAATAATTCTTATTCTAAATGTTTTACAATATCCTTACATAAAGTTAGTTTAGCCTTACAAATATAAGAATTAACACCACCAAGTTTAAGACAAAAATTGTACACCACATTTCTGGATGAAGAGTCCACCCTGCTCTTCATTCCCCAACATTTTTCTTATTTAAGAGATACAATACTTACTAGGTCATAAAAGAAGTTAGTCACCCAATAGCTTCTCACGCTGATACCTGAAATATGCTGTAGTTGTTTTGCCTTGGTTTGGTGTTCCTTTACCACATAAAGCACAAAGCTGGCTGTTGTGATGGAGTAGCCAATCAGGACAGACATGGAGACGATAATATCCAGTAAACTACTAAGCCTGGGGGAGGGGTAAACAAAATATTTGTTCACATAAATAAATACATAGGGCCGGCATCAGATTTGAGGGGTCCCTGGACAAAGCATCCTCTGATGGGCCTCCTTCTATCAGTACACCATAGTATGCCAACTTCACTGTGATGGCAGGTCTCCACACAGCACCAGACAGCTGTGTTAATTTCTCACAGTGCTTCACAACAAAGCTAGGTTGCGGGCATTGGGGGAAACTAAGAATATTCTGGATCCACCTGCTTAGACATCCAGATGTGTGTGTGTGTGTGTGTGTGTGTGTGTGTGTGTGTGTGTGTGTGTGTGTGTGTGTGTGTTTTAAGGGAAAATATCAAGGCAGTAGTAAGCATCGAACCTTGCCTGGAGTCTCTCTTTTATTTCAGACACACAAATCCAAAAATGTACAGAATTATTTTGATCAAGTGATCATTTTCTCCTCGCTATGGGGATTGGTCACAACAATTACCCTCATAAACTGTTGCACATGCATCTTTTGAGCAGGCACTTGAGCAGCCAGCAGTGTGTGCCTTAGCATAAGACATATTACAGTACAGTTTTAAATGCTACCCAATTGGTCAACAGAGAGCCAGCCAATGCCATGGCAACTGCTGGCCAAAAATTTCTATGGATGGTATCACTTCAGATTGCAGGCAGGAGGGTTTCATGTGATGCAATGCTCATTCATTTCCCCAAACCCCACACAGTTACAAACTAAATCCTTGCAGACAGAAAATGAAAGATCACAAAGAAGCTATCACAACATAACGATTTCCCTGAAACACAGTTTCCTATTAGCAAAAATGTGTGCATTTTGCTTTCAACCATATAAGCTCCTACCTGCAGTCTGAAGTGATACAGCACAGGGACAAATGTAACATCTCAGTTAGAATTAGGTACATGAGGCCACTGCAAATCATCTTTCACCCTGTGTATAGTGCTGTATTAATATTGATTAATACAGAAAAACTGTCTTGAATCTGGCTCAAAGCCAATTTGGAATTCTTTCCTCACCCCTATAAGGACAACAAGAAACAGTTCTCGTATGTGTTTGATCTCTTATGCTGCATTGTTATCATGACAGATAACAAGAGGCCTTGTGCAGAGCACTAAGGCATCCAAATGTTGTTGGACTACATGCCCCCAGCTGGTGTAGCCAGCGCAGACAATTGCAAGAGATTATGGGAGTTGCAATCTTGCAGGGTCACACATTCTCCACCCCTGGCCTGACCTAAAGAATCCTTTCCTTTCTTTTCCTTTCCTTCTTTACTGCTACAATTATACTACACAGCTCCCTATTAAATATGGCAGGGAATGACCCATCTGGATACAGTGGCTGAAATCCTGTGGTGCAATTACATAAATGATTTAACTTTTCAAAGCACATTGATGTACATTAAGAAATCAACATAGACATTGTATTCTCGAAGACAACATAGCCAATATCTGTTGCATACTGAATCACAGTACTTCTCATGCAACAAATAGTGTTCATGGTGATTTCTTAACTTAAGGCATTTTGCCTCTAAAAGCTACATGCTTTCCATAACTGTCCAACAGGATTTCAGCCAATGCAACCAAGTCCTGATTGCTTCAGTTCAGACTGATCTAGATTACACATAGTCCAGTCAAATATGGGTGGTCCTCCTTCAGCTTTATGGAAAGAGACATGATGTGGTCAGTGTCTTACATGGCTTGTTCTTGACTCTCTCCACCAGGATAAGGATGAGCAACAACAGAAATGCCTACAACAACAAAAAGCACACTTAAGAGTTTTGCTTAATTCACAACTGAATATAGCTGTAAGCTGAAGAAGAGAGAGGCTCACATAAGACTTGTTATCTCTACCACTTGAGAGTGGGATAGAAAAGCAATTGGAGCTAAATGATTCAGCAGTTATGAGTGATGTTGGGTTGATAAAGAATGGCATTCTGGAGCAGAACTTGATAAACTGAAAGAGCACTGTGTATGTAGACTACTGAGAGGTATGATGGATTGTACAGTATACCCGTGTACAGGGCAAACAACAGTTGGGCAGGTATAGAAGCCAAAAATACTACAAAGCCAGCCAGGTTGGATAAAAGAAAGAAAATATGCCTTATAGAGCCTCATGGCACAGTGGTTAAACTGTAGTACCGCAGCCAAAACTCTGCTTATGGTCCAGCATTCAGTACCAATGGATCTGACAACCTGCTCAAGGTTCACTCAGTTTTCCATCCTTCCAAGGTTAATAAAATAAGTACCCAGCTTGCTGGGAGAGGGGGGGCAATGTGTAGCCTGTATAATTTTTAAAAAGTAAACTGCTCAGAGAGTGCTTTAAGCACTATTGTGTGGTATATAAGCAGCACACTTTGCTTTTTTAAAAACCAATTTTCATTGGGTAAGGGAATGCTTTTTTTTAAATGACACAAATTAAACTACTGGGGCAGGTTCTAAGCAGGTAAACTAGTAGTCCAGCTGATATTATTTGCAAAGAGGGCACCCTGATCATCCAGGCTCCTTTCCTTCTCAACTTAGAAAGAGATTTGAGGGGGGGATTAATTGATTTTATTCTCATTTTGGGCCACATGGAAGCTTTGTTACCAACATCCAGCTGAACAGTCAAACTGGATAATACATTTAGAATGTAAATATTCCCTCAAGGGGTAGACGACATCTGTTTGTGAAATTCCTAACTATTTTAACTTCTGTTTAGTGTACTTGATTTTGTGATTGGTAACTGGAAGATGAACATGGGCTTAATTTGCAAGTCTAATTTCCAAGGCATACATCTCTACAGGAATCCCACTGTGGGATGGAAAACAAGTTAATCACTATGTATATGCATTCCCCTTAAGCAATAGCTTGATCCTGAATTTTGCAAAAGACTCCTGAATTATTGAAATCATCATAATGTCCAGTATTAAGAGTGCCTATATTGTGGCAGATTCTGAGCAGCCGGTACTCAAAAACTGTCATTTGGGTATAGATTAAGGCAGGAATAAACTCCAGAAATACAGATCGGGGAATCACTTGAAATATTTTGAAATTTCTCTAGTGTTTATATTTTATTTACACTCATTGGGACTACCTAGCATTTGTGTTTTAACAGTGTCCTTGTTCCACATAGATCTATCTTATTTTCTTTTCTTGGGAAGCTCTTTTAAAATAGGTTGCCAAACTATTCCTACATGTTAATAAACTAGATTACAGCATGAATTACTTTTTAAAAGACTAGTAAAGTGTTGCTGACTGCCAATTCTTTTTTAAAAAAGTCCTCATTAACTCAGATGTTTCCCATCCCATCAATTAATGAATTGCCTCTCCCCAGCCACCCTGTTTTTATCAATATTGAATACATAACTAAGAAAGCATACAACCTTCCCACCCATCAAAAATAAAGGATATACAGTTTGATTGAGCTGCTAATGCTCCTTTGCTATGAAGAATTTTTTTCTTTACTGCAGCTTAGGTTAGAAGTCAAAATTTCCATTTCAATACCTATTTTTCAAGGCTTGGGAGAGGAAGAGGCACAATATACATCAGTCCAAAGCCATTATGATTTGCTTAGTGACAGTGTAAAAAAGCTCTTTTTATGTGCCTTTTTAAATACATGAAACCTAAGTCAGACCTCAAAAGCAGGATTGCCACCTATTTCAAATTGCTAAAATGACAGCAAACTTTTATATGGCCATTTCAATGGTTCTTAAGCTGTCATTTCATTTGTCAAAGCCATAGATGGCTTGGGTTGCCTGACAGGTGCTCTAAAGACCTTTCCATCAATTCTGCCTCCAGCCAGGTTACACTGCCTCAGTCCTCACTCAATTTACAAGTTCATTGCATTTACCAGCCCTCAGTGCTTAGATATGTTTAAAAGAGAGGACTGAAAATAGTGATTGCCAGATCACAGAATGTGAGACTTGGAAGAATTTTTTAATAATTAGTTTTGTCTCCAACAACATAGAGCAAGATTGGAAAACATGTAGAAGAAAAGCGTAACAGAGGCCCTGAAAAGTCTTAAGGGTTGGATAAGCCATTTAATGCTTTCACGCTGATCATTCTCAATGGGAAGAAATGAAAGCATTATGCTCTGCCATGGCACAATGTATCAGGCACGGCTGAAAACAAAAGCCTCGTGATGTCGTGGTTGCCAAATGATGCCGCCAAGGTCTCCCGAGTACCTACCGTATCCAGCTGACTTTTCTTTTGGCAAGTTAGCACGGAGTATGAAGTTATTCAGGCTGTTCAGGTAGGCTGGGAGGCTGTGATAACCTTCCGGATTATACCAGACCTGGAGATTAAAAACAACAGGGTTTTTTTTTAAATGCTCTTTTTGGTTATTAGGAAGAGAAAGTTCTTCACCAAATTCCTAAGTGTAGATGTGCACTGTTCACCCACTATGTATACGGGTCAGCATATTTTTTACACATATAGTACTCCGACCCCCATCAGGCTTTCACAAGGTACATGTGGAAAGAGCTGTTTTCAGCTTTCCACAAATCTAGGGAAGGTTTGCCTGAATGTGGGCTAGAACAAAATCCAAATACTGAGGAAGGAAAATCTCGATCCTAGGCAGCATTAAGCACATTATACTGCAAATTATTGGCTTAATTGTTTTTAATATATAATTTTGTATGGCATTTTAAGCTGTTATTATTGCATGGTTTTAATATATTGACTGTCGTAGCACTTTGCGAATCAGATCTTTGTTGTTGAATTCACAGGTCAATGGTACTGAGTGAATATGATTTACGTGCGTATTTTTTTATTCTGGAAATGGAAGCCCCAAGGAACTGGAGGCTTTGGGTGAGAGACCAGAATGTGCTATCGAGTTGCATCTGACTTATTGTGATCCTAGAAGAACTTTTTGAGACATTTAAGGAGTGGTTTTACCAGTACCAACCCTGTTCCCAGTGAGTTTCCATGGCTGAGTACAGATTTCAAAGCCAGGATCCCTGAATCTTAGACCATCCCCTTATCCACTCTACTGCAGTGGTTACTCTTTCTGCCATAGTTCTAATATTAACCCCTACACACACTTATTTGAAGTGTTACTTCAAGGGAAGCTTCTACCAGGGCAAATGGAGGCTTCCCAGAAATGGAAGGAGCAGCTTCAGAGAAAAGACTGGAGAAAGAGTTAAGCCCCACTTTCCATAGTCCTGATGTTGCTAACTCTTTCCCAAGGCTATTGTTTATCCCCCCCCCACCACCAAGTGTATGTTATTGACATTCATCCTATTTGGCCTACAAAGTGTGTTCCTAGTTAGGAATCCAGGTATCAATCCTTCTTGACCAAGAACCAAGCTCATTTATTTGGCTCCCTGTTCTAAACTGGTTGTCATATATTTAAAGGGCATATGTTATTTCCCTCAACACATCATCATAGTGGCAGCTTGCCAGATTCTGAGTTACAAGCCCTTCAAGTTACAAGAGGTGCAACAACAATAGAGATTCCTGTTTAAAAATGTTCTTGGTGTATTAGACTCCTATAGCTGGCAGGGTCTGGAAAGCAAATTCTTGATACTGTAGATTGACGAGATGTGTGGATATCTGAAAGAACTACCAATATAGAGAGATAGGAGACACACAACAACAACATTGTTCAACTCATCAACAAACCACATCACGCACACCAGATGTGAACATTCATATAGCAAGTAACAATGGCAGCAAATTAGGACAACATGAATTTTCCTCCATAGTTTCAAACTGGTTTCACTGGGTGAACATTTAGAATTATTTTGTGTTTGCTTTTAATAGGGTTGAATGCTAAAATATGAATATTTCTTTATATATTCCTACTTTCAAGAACTTTGGTGTTTTGGATAAGTATTCTCTGCTGTTTCAATATGCCTCTTTTAGCCTATATGTTCTTTTATTTTGGATTCAAATATGAGTTAAGTTCTTGTCTGTGACTTTTATAGCTCAAAGCTTACAACTGAAACTTAATTATAAATTGATTTAAGTTCTGCCTGCAACTTAAGTTTTATTTTTAAAATGTACTCTTGTTTGTAAATATTAATAGGTGTAAGAATTTTGGATGGCAATCACACCTGCAACTTTTCACAAATTGAAAGGATGGGCATATGTTTAAGTATTTGTGCCCATAGTTTTCCATAGCTGTGAGATTTTCAGATGTTTTCAATATTTTGGATATATTTTGTGCATATTTACCATAGAAGCAATGTAGAAATAAAGCTTGCAGACACGCTTATGTTGCCTGGAATCACTGCAACAATGAAAAGACCTATACCTTTGCATTCAGATGAATTTTGATATGATTGCAAATGATTGCCTGATTTCATTCTGGAATTAACCTTGAACTAGGATAAATGGCAGTGATGATGAACAAAAGCTTCTGATTTTTCCCTAGAGGTCTATAAAGTTCTGTAGGGTTCCTGGGAAATTGTTCAGGTGTCAGACTCCCTGATCTAACAACCAAATAGCTACTCTTTTGGGCCCTGACATTATTAAACAGAACAGGGACAATAGTTTCCGTTTGAAGGTTCACTGGATCAGTCACTATCCCTTACATTAGCTGACATCAAAGTGCTTTTGTAAAAAATGAAATGAATGCTGATATTTAGAGCAAATAAGAGGCAAGACTGGATTTAGGACTATAATCCTAAACATATTTTCTGAAAAACAAATCCTACTGAAATCAATAAGACTCACAACTAACTGAATAAATATTTGCAGGATTGGCCTGAAAACCTAAAAGCTGGCTTAGCTGGGTGTCTGAAATCAATAAGACTCACAACTAACTGAGTAAATATTTGAAGGATTTGCCTAAAACCTGGCTTAGCTGGGTGCTTAGTTCACTATGCACATTGCTTGCTTTGTTACCTGTTTCAATATGTAGTGCAAACAGTGGACTGGAGGAACTAAAAATCTACAAAACTATCTCTGAACTTTTCACCCTGCTTGCCCCCACTAGGAAACTCAGAGGTAACCCCTTTTGTCATTGGGTCTACTCTAGTGTGCACTTAGCACATATTCTAAGGAAGAAATAGTAATACAAGAAAGTCCTATAATGGAATACTCAAAGCTTAGTCCCATTTATTTCAATTAGGTTTACTTTCACGTAAGAGCCTATCTGAATGGAGCTATAATCCAGAGCCACTGTAAAACAAGGAAGGGAATCTTCATTTAAAAATATACTGCAACATAGAAAAAGACTATAAACATGAAATACATGTTTTCATGAAGCTACTTTCAGAATAGAGCTCCATGGTGGTGACTGTTATACCTTAACATAAATTTCTAGTACTTTGACAGCCTTTTTTGTGTTATGTTTCCTGTGTTATAGACTGCAACTATACACCCCTTTACAGAATGATTTTTATTTGTTATAAAAATTTTATTGCTACAAGGGAAAAAGTGGCAGACACAAAAACCTTTTCTATAAGAACAGGCCAACTGTAGTGAAGGAGACCCCACTCAATTTCACGAAAGGGGGAAATCTGCTGGTTCCAACATTTAGTAAAGAGGCAGAGGAAGGAGAAAAAAGGATGTTGGATAAAAACGGAGGAGTGAAGCTGAAACTAATTGCAATTTAGTATTCAATGGACTTCTTTATATTTCACGAAAGGGGGAAATCTGCTGGTTCCAACATTTAGTAAAGAGGCAGAGGAAGGAGAAAAAAGGATGTTGGATAAAAAATGGAGGAATGAAGCTGAAACTAACTGCAATTTAGTATTCAATGGATTTCATGACTATATGCAATGGTAAGGAGTTTGATCGTATTTTTTTCTGAAATAATTCAATATGCTTTTTGCTATACTGAAACAGAAAGAACAATGTCCCTGCCTTATGGTTGCGTTAATTAGCCTCCCCTATTTTACATTAAGTGCCTGTTAACTATTCTAAGAGTCATAGTAGTGTAGGGTATAGAGTATTGGACCAGGACTCAGGAGACCTTGGTCAAAATCCCCATAGAAACTACCCTTTTTGCCTGAAAACAAGACCTAACCTGAAAATACGCCCTAAGATGATTTTTCAGGATGCTAATAATATAAACTCTCAAACTGAAACTCTCCTTCTCTGGTTCCTATCTCTCTCTTCTCCTCTTAGTTCCTTTCCCCTCACATCATTCACTCCTCATTTAAATAAATGTAGATGGTTGTGTACATGAAAAAATAGATACACATGTATTCCAGGAGCAGCTTGGAACATTTTGCTACGTGAGGCAAAGGACAAGAACACATCCCATTCCAGGTCCACAAAAGGAGACTGACTACACCAGCAGCTGAATCCTCCTTTTATCATGCTGGTGATGAGTTACAATATTTTCCATTATATCTGAGATGGATAACTTAGGGCACACAGAATACTCAGATATACTCAGGGAGAATAACCGGGGAGAATATACCCACAAGCCAGTAGCATCTACCACCATAGGTGGCCGCCTAATGAAAGATCTGGCCCACAGTAAAGCTCTAAGTTTTCTGAGGTCACCCACCAGTCCAATGGAGCCCACCAGGAGGAAATTAGAGGTGTAGCCATACCTTCTATTTCACAAGGCTCAGCAACAGGCATAAAGAAACATCCTGATGCTGGAGGTCATCTGTAGCCTTGCTTATGAGTAACCTCCACGAATCTATTTCAACTCCTTTTGAAGCTATCTAGATTAGCAGCCAACATTACACCTCATGACAGTAAATTTATGCATGGTGTGATCTTTTATCTATTGTGTGCCCCACCTCCAGGTTCATGATCCTGGATTGTATTAATATGTGCACTATGGTGTGCAAATGATAGGGTTTTTTAGAGGATGGGCAACATGTGAAAGACACCTAAATCCCTTTCAGAAACATCATAATTGTATCTTACTTGGGTTGCTGGTAAAGTTCTAGCTTTTTTACAATCATACCACTAGTTTTAACTAGACATTCTCATAAAGACACCAACCTTTAAATGGCACAAATGTCTTTGCCATGTGTACAGCAACAATATGCATCTCCTATACCTTACCTTAGTGATTGTTCTGTTAGCAGGCACTGGCGTTATGTCAAACTGGAGATCACTTGTCAACGGCAGCCCAAAACTCCAACCGCCGTATCTGGATAGAAAGAATAAAATGTCGGACAATGATATCAGCCTCCACCATGTAAATTTACACCAACATTTTTATGGATATTTTAGCTATATCCTAAAATATGTAGATACAGAGCACTTGGAAGCTACATTTAATGATGCAGCAGCTGAAGATAGTATTATAAAATATTTTTATGTTTACTGGAAGAGAGTCAAATGATGAAGACAAGATTATTAAGATGACTCCTGTTTTTGTATTCAGCTTCCATGATATGCGATTTGCACATCAGGGGGCAGCATGATTATACTCATTGGCTGACCTCTCTTTGTTGTGTTTCCATCATTTGTCATCATGTGTTAGTGAGTGAATGTTTGCAGTCCCAGCAAAGATGACCCGGCTCAGTGTTTCCAGGTATGGAGCATCATGAGTAGAAGAATTAATGGTGGTGCAAGGCTACAAAGAGGAGGAAACAGAATAAAAGCAGTACCTCTTCTGCACAAAGTCCTTGGCAGTAAGGAGAAGGTAAGTCTCTACATCATGCCCAGTGAGATTGTAAATGGTCCGTGAGAGGAAAGTCTTCTTGTGAGGTGGGGAAAAGTTGATTTTTGGACAAGTCTAGAAAGGAAAAAAAAAACAATTTTTTAAAAATAAAAATATTCTTGTGACTAAAAACTACACCGTTCTAGCAAGTAAATTGTGCAATATAAACTTTTTTATTTTCTCCAGACATCTTCTCGGTCTAACATGCACTGAGATCAATAATACAAGAAAATGTTTTTTAAAACATTGTATTTTCAATTACCACCTATTTGGTGTTTCTTTTTTGACAAGAATATGTGCATCTATGTTGTTTGCTTTCAGCCAGGTGCTTGCTCTTCTGTGTTGGTGCAGGTGAGAAAACTACTAACATTGATGCTTAAATTAGACTTTTGACACAAACACTGGATCTCCTGCAACTGACTTAGTCTGGGCTCCAGGACTGTACTGTAAACACTGCTTATATATGCAGTTTTACTAATCACGGGAACTGCAGTGTGTTCTCAGCACATAATCCACTTTACTTCCTCTTTTGTGCTCTCCCTTTCACTGAGTGAGAAACATGGACACACATGTTCAGTAAAGATCAAAAGGTCTCCAAGGGCTTCTCCTGCAACGCAAACAGCACCTTTAGGGATCTTGCACCGTGGCAGGGACGAAAATAGTTACATCCCTCTCCCTCACCCTTCAGAAGCTGCTAAAGCATCCTGACCTTGCTATTTATGTAGCAAATAATGTGCATATTAACTGCATCCATACAATTAACTTGACAACTAGTTTGGCTTCAAGGCACCCATCTGGCACAAGGTAACCTGTATTTTTGAGACAAGGCAGCTACCTCTTTACGTCTTTAAAATCGTTTTATGCTACCAAAAAGAGGTAAAACTGAAGGAATATGGGAGGAAGGGTGATATTGTATTTTCTCCTCTCCACCAGCCAGAACTATGCATCTATTGTAATGTCATGTACACTGTGAAGTATCTGAGTGATATTTGGTCACTTAATATTCTCAGAAGCCATATCTGTTGCCTTTTGACCAAGAGTGGCTCTGAGCAGGAAGGCAACTTCATCCCAAACTTCGGCTAAGTTAAAGCTGAAGATTAATCTTGAAGGCATTAAGAGTCCAAATCTTATCTTATGAAACCTTTATGGCAAATATTTCCTGTTCAATTACAGTATTTTCTTTTCTCACATATAATATGGAGGTACAGATTTACCTACCTCGCACAAGAGCAATGAGATTAAATGCCATGCTCCTGGGCATATTATGGAATAACTACAATAGAAATACATAATGTTGGGGTGTGTACATGTTCTGTGCCATCAAGCCAGAACTGAGTTCTAGGAACCCTTATAGGGCTTTCAAGGTAAGTGAGATTTTAAGGAGTGGTTTTACCAGTTTGACTCTCCCAGTGAGTTTCCATGTCATAGCAGGGATTTGAACCCTGTTCTCCAGAATCCTAGTCCATTACTCTTTCCACTACACCACACTCAGAGTGTTGGCAGGAGGTTGAAATCCTTGACTTCAGTGGAATTTAAACTAACTGCAAAATAATCCAATGCACAATTGCTTTGTCATGCATTCCATGGAACATTATGGGATTGATTTCAGAGTACAGATGCATAGGATGGATTAGCAAAGCAAGTGACCTCCATGAACTCCAATGTGGCTTGTTTATGGGTAAAACCATATGTTGTACAACAGGCATTATAACAGGGATCTGACAGGTTCAGGGTTGTGACTAGGGAAGATTGAATGCACAGTTCTATATTCAGTCACATGGTCAGTGACAGATAGCAGATGGTGACTCCTGTCAGGAGTTTATCAAAAGTGGACTAGAACACACAGTTCAGTGGTATGCTGTGTATGTTCAAATCTGCAGCCCCTGGAGCTATCCATTCCCTCATAGAACAAGTTCTCTGGAACCTAGGTTCTTATCCTGTGGTCTGTGGACCCCCGGGGAGGGGCCACCATGTACTCATAGGGGGTCCACAAAGGCTTGAAGAAATGTTATGATGAATGAAAGCAAGAAAGCAAAAGAAATGTAGAACAAAATCTTAGTTTCCCTTGCTTGTTTGTGTAAAACTTGGCTTTTCTAACCTACCACTTCCATTAAAATCAAACAGAAGTAAAAAAAATGGTTATGAACATTTAAAAGTTTAATAGCAACTCTGTTTTATTTTTCTGCACACGGTAAGAACATGCAAGTGAATGATGCTGAGTGACTGAGAGACAGCATGTGACATTCCTTGCTACTGTACAGATAATCAGAAGCCACAGGAAGAGAGGGTCAATCAGAGTGTTCATACAGACTTCGTGATTGTTTTTCTTCTTTGAGTTCTACTAATAAAAACATTTGGTTATTGTCGGCTAAAGTGACTTTTCAGTATTATCATAGTGAATTTTGTAACAATACATTTTGGCTGAGCTGCAAAAAAATATTTCTACTTATACTAATATAATCATTTAAGCTCCTTTTTTCCTCCTCTCCTACCTGCAGTATTTGTAGTAATCCCCAGCCTCCAATTTTTCATGGTAAATATAATCTGTCCAGATCATTTTTGGGATGTAGTGTGTGATGCATGTTCATTAGTTTCCACATTTTTCAATCCAGTTCTTCTAACTCATTTTGGGTCCAATCTATTATTCCAGCTGGGTATCTAATGACTGGAACGGCCCATGTGGCTTTGATTGCATTTCTACCATTCAATTCTGATTTTAAGATTTTTTGCAGTCTTTTGATATATCCCTTTTGGTCAGATATCTAATTTTTGTGTGCAGGATGTTAGCTACTTCTAATATTCCAAGGTATTTATAATTTTCAGTACTTGGTAGGGATTTTATAATATCATCATTTTTCAACTCTATTCAATCTAATTTTTGGATCTTGCCACGGTGTATAGACAGAGCTACACATTTGTCATTTCCAAATTTCATTTGTACATCTTTACTAAATATTTGCATTGTATTTAGCAGTGATTCTGTCTCTGTGGAACTTTTTCCATATAGTTTTAGGTCACCCATGATGGTTGATTTTTTCCTGCTTGTTCTGAAATATGGTAGCCCAATCCAGTTTTATTTAAGATTATTGACATGGGGATTAGTGAGATGGCAAACAGTAGTGGTGATAAAGAACCCCCTTGAAATCTTCCTCCTGATGCTAACATCCCAAATTTCTTCAGTTGTTGTAAATTTTTATGGAATCACTCCAATAAAAATATTATAATAGGCCTTGTGCATTAACTAATTTCTCCCTTCTCTTCAAATCTGAAGACCCTTCATGAGAAATTTAAATACATATTTGATGCACTTCAGGGTTTTAAATCTTGAGGTAAGTCTTGGTGGTCCGCGGCAGCAAAAGATATGGTAAAGAAAAGGTTAAGAATCACAGCTCTAGAACAATAAATCCCTGATATTTGTTTCATATGTGTCTCCTCTCATTGAGTTGTAATTTTACGTTACCTGTCTGTTGCCGGTGCAGTTGCAGGCAGAATACTGAGCGCTCTGGTTCCCACTGAACACCCACTCATCAGGCACGTCTTTCTTGAAACATGCTCTGAAAGCAAGCAGATTTAACACTGACATTTCCTGCAAGCAGGTATAGAGATGACACACAGTAATATGGTGGCAGATTCCCATTTAATGCAGGGCACTTGGCAGGCGACCACCTTTATTTATTGATTCTCCCATGAGCTCACAACAAATCCTGCTTGCTTCAAGGCGAGCTAAATTCTCTCAGTCCTGCTTGATTCTTAATGGTTCTGCCTATCGGTCTGTCAATCTCTTTTAAGTTGTTGAATTGTGATATTGATTGGAATGGTCTAATGAGACCTGCTTCAAATTCCTTAGCAAGACGCGCAAGGAATTAACATCGAAATAACAGAATTATTTTGGAAGCAAAAGGGAGCCCAGTGCCCTGGGGTACTGCAAGGGCAAAGCATTAATTGGATAATCCTGTGATACTTGATTAATCATGTACAGTTTGCACAAATGCTTCCCCAAGCAACATAGGTTGTCCAAAAATAATCTGCAGCTGATTTGCAACTATACACAGCTCACCCGGCTGGGGTGACAGGTGTGTGGCTCAACTTCAATGAACACCCATTCAAATTTTCCTCATAAGCAAGTGAATTTAGTTTGGACAGATGTTGGTCAAGGGATTCTGGAAGCTGTGGTTTAAAAAAAGGGAATGTTTACAGTGCTTGGACTGTAGCTAAGGGGTGACTACATTGACAAATGATATGGAAAATGCTCTGGAACTGACGTACAGGTCAATGCAAATCACCCTGATGTTTTCCCTCCAAACCCATACTTTTTTTAAACCTCCTTGGCTGGGGCTTCTACTTTTTTGGAATATTATGCCAGTGTACTTCCAAGTTCAAGGTGCTACTATTGACATTCAAAGCCATAAATGGTTTGAGAGCTCTCTCCTTGTCAGAGTGCCTCTCCCTCAGACTGACTCCCCATCCCACCGGTACTTCCCAAGCAACATTGCTATGGATGGCCACTCCAAGGGAGGCCTGGAAATCCACTACTAGGAACTGGGCTTTCTCAGTGGTGGCTGTCATGCTATGGAACTCTCTTCCTGTGGAAATGTGTCCGGCCCCCAACCCTCCTTGGCTTCAGGAAAAAGTAAAATAAAGACCTGGCTCTTTATTCAGGTTTTTCATACTCCTGCCCCGGTTTAATTTAATTAATTTTTAAGTCTCTCTAATTTTTGATGACCTGTGTTTTTATGGCTGATCATTTGTCTGTCACCATTGTGTGTCTTATTATAGGTTTAATTTAAGCTGGGGTTTTGTCTGCTTTTTGGTTTAATGTCTTGGTTGTTGTTTATTATTGAATCTTGGTTTGTGTTGTGGATCCTTTTATTGTAAACCACCCAGAATTAAATAAATAATTTTTAAAAAATATTTTTACTCTGCCTTTCTCCTTAAAAGGACCCAATGCATTCAAAGTGGTTCAGGCAGCGTAATCACTTGCGCCCGTGCAAAAATGTATGTGCAGGGATGCTGGTGGTTCGCAGGGTGAGGACAGAGGAAGCGAAGGAGCACTTGCAAGGGTCGGATCACCTCAACTGAGCACTCCTTTTCTCACAACTATTTCTATCTTTTATTAAAAGGCTTGGTGCCAGTGCTAGGACAAAGTTGCACTAGAACATCTAGGAGACGAAAACCTGCCAGCACAATTATTCTGTCAGCTAAAATCTGCAGACTGAAAAAAGAGGGATAGCAAAAGAGCCAGGGTCAGAAAGGAGCCAATTTATGTTCAGTCCAGTCCTCCTCCAGCCCAAGGACACAGCCACGGTGCTGTCACAAACTGAGGCCAGAGTTAAGGGTACTCCTAAGTAATTCTCAGTAATCTTCGACTGGGAAGAATCCAGCACAGCTTCAATTGATTAGAGATACTTTAGCTGCCCCCTGTCCCCTTTGGCCAATTAGGACAGCACTTGTATTGAAGAAAATATATATGAGAGTTAATGTTTGTTTAAGTATAGTTGACATTGGTGGGCTTACATCTATGTAAACGGGCACAGGACTGTCAACATTTTGGTGCAAATTATTTTCTCTGCATCCAGGTGCCAACCACATTTTCTTGGAAATGATTTTAGGGAAATTACTCAAATATGACTGTTTCCACAGCAGCCACAACAAATGCAAGACTGTCTAAAAACTGCACTGTTTCAACATCTGACAGTTTCTTACTTGTTTCAGTGTGAGCCCTGGGTATTTGTACCCCTGTATATGATCAAAGGATGTTCTTAACACCTACTAACTCGTACTTTTTTTTGTCTCTTCCCTTCCCATAATAAGAAATTAAAAGGAGAAAAAAGCACTACTTACAAATTACTTTCATTTAAGCATATATTATCTGCTCCAGGGAAAGAAAGCAGTGCAGCTACCAAAGCACGGGTGGTTTCATTGTAATTTCTAGGATTTAAAATACACACCAAAAATAGTTAGCTGTACTTTCATGAAAGACAGATTAGATAATGCATATCATATAAATTGAACAAAGTCAGCAAAGTAAAACATTATTCTATGCCCCAGTGCAGTAAAGCAAGAGGTATTCTAGCAGTCTTTCACCCTAAACAGAGTTGCATAAGTTTCCAGTTTTAGCACAAAATATAGGAGTGTTACTTTGCATATAATCACAGTGTTGCTCTGTGTTCAAATTTTGCCAGAGAAAACTGTTGACTGGGGCCCTAAAAGGTAAGTAATAAGGAGCAATTCTCCAGTTACTTACCTTATATAAGGAGATGCCTGTGAAACCAACAGTGGCCAGAATCCTATTGCTTACATACACCAGTGTTAAATGCAATGGCATAAATGCAGCAGGGAATCACCAGTCATGGAGGAGCAGCTGCTGGAACTGCTGATTGCCTGCCAAGTCACATGGCTAGCGCACAGTGAGGAATACTCCTTAAGTGGTGGTAATTTGCTGCTGTATTTATGCCAGTATTATTTAGGAGTCAAGTTTCAAAGGAGAACCACCTAATTTCATTTCATAGCCCTGCTATCCCACAATGTCTTTGTTCCAAGAGGACATTTCTGTCTTTGGGCACAGTCCAGAAAATGCATTCGTCGTGTACCGGAGTCACTCTGTTCCTCTACAAGCAATTTCCAGAGGAGAATCCCCAAACTACAATTTGGGTTCCAATTTGGTTGGTATTGAAAAAGCAATCTGGGAGTGCGGCGCAATGAATTTGTTGATAGGGAAATTTATTGCAAGGGAAGTACGTACAGAGCAGAAGCAGTTTTTCTATCATCGCGTCTCATGCCAAACCTCAAAACGGTTTTTCTGAATAGTTTTTGTAATTCAGAGGAATATAAAGCAGCAAGAGAAAATTCGCTCGGCATTCACACACAGTAGAATCAAACCTTTAATATTTTGTGGCTTCAAATCAACCGAATGATGTAGCTGAAACATTGCTATGTTTGATGGGTGTGGCTACCCGGATTGTTTTTAGGAGTTCCTCATCAACTTGAAGTAAGCCTCCCATCAGAGAGGGAGAGAGAATTTGCCATCAAAGGGAGCCCTAGGTTTGTACCTATAGATGTCAGAAGCAGGGTGAGGTTGGGCAAGCACCAAGTAAGTTACAGCAGCATTCTGTATAGACGGAGGTGGAAGTGGCCACATTTCTTTTTTGGTTTTTAACCCCTCCCCACCCAGTTCCTATTTCTACCACAGCTCTTTACCATATTGCCAGAAAAGAATGTTCTTTCCCCCCCTAGACAAAGTCTAGGAAATGCTTGTTCACCCACACCAGATCTGCCATGCCACCTTAATAATGGAAAAGAAATATTCACCCAAAGAAGTCTGCCTGGCCAGAGGAGCCATACAGGGATGGAGAGAGGTGGAGTGCTGGGTATTCTGCCACTTTAGTCCTCAAAGTGCCAAGGCCCATGGCGGCCACCACAAAGAGCACAGGAAGGATAACTTGAGCAATGAAACCCTTCACGTTGCGCCGAGTGTGATGGAATCGCTTAATGAGCAAGGCGGTGGCCTTCCTGAGCAGGAGGGAGCTGTTTGGCTTCTTTGTCCTAAACAGTGCTTGGTCTGTGGATCAAAAAGGAAACAAGACAGGATGGCTTATAAATATTTCAAGATTTTCAATTCTCCTGCCCTCTGCTAAGCAGAGGACGTGATAAAGTTGCCAACGTCCTGAAGGGACAATACTCCAAATCCTTGACAACTTCTTGGTGCATTGAACAGTTATGTGAGTGTCCTTTTACAGAGATTCTCACAGAAGTTACAGGATCAACCGAATATGTATTCTACAGGTTTTTGCTTGTTTTTTTAAAAAAAAACACAAATGCTTTCAATTTGCATTCTGATTCCTACATGGCACACAGGACCTCATGACAAATTACGGGCTGTGCAGGGGAGGTACACTCCGCCTAAGTGGCTTTTTAGCCCACTCTTTGAAGCACTGAAAGGATAGATAGGCTGGTGCACTCTTAAAGACAACAACCAGACAGCATCTTTGCTAGAGTGCACCAGCCCATCCCAGAGTGTTTCTACCTACACCTTTCTGTCCTCTGTCAAGGGGCTTCTACTTTTCTGGCATGAGTAGGATTGGTCTGGTTTGAATTGCTCCCAACATGTGTGTTCACTGGAACCACTCTAAAGCAAGCCTCGCCCCCCCCCCAGTTTTCCAATATCATTCAACAGCTTAATAATCAAGCCCCTTCAGGATGTTGGCAACTTTATCATTTCCTCTGCTTAGCAGAGGGCAGGAGAATTGAATATGCACTACATCAGAGAGAGAAAGAGAGAGAGAGGGAGGGAAGGAGGGAGAGAGTCTAAGGTGGTAGCTTATATACAGTTAACATTTTTTTCACTTCCCCTGCCCTCTGCCAAGCAGGGGAAGTAATTAATTTGCCAATATCCTAAAGTGGCTTGCTTATAAAGCCACTCAATATTGGCAGGAGCCATTGCCATTTGAATCATTCTAATAAGCCCAACCATTCCCAAGTGACCCACACCAGCTTGCTCCCTGCTGTTAGTGTAGCCATACCCTGAGGCATAGAGTACTGGTGCATAGAAACCACCTACCATGTTGTAAAACACTTCTTTTCCCAAGAGTTGTTCCCCAACATTGGAGATTTGTGCAAAATCACTACCCTAGGAGGATACGAAATGTCCTGGGTACACAGTCCTATGCCAGATTACCCTTCACAATGCCTTCACAAAGCAATTCCCACCCACTTGTTCATTAGCTTATATAAACCATAGTATCCTGGGAGATGTGATCAAGTTAGTGTATATAGGTTTGTTTATTTATACGTACTGTTCAATTTATATCTTTAATGTCTTTCACACTTGCAGGACCCAAGGAGAAATAGAATATTAGTTTTAAACATGGAAATGAGTTTAAAAACTCACAATAAATGTGTGGCCGAGCACAACCCACCAGCCCTAGTCAGCTTAGCCAATGGTGAGGGATGCTGGGACAAAATACAGGTCGAAGGACTTTAATATTCTGATCTACTTAAGAACCTTAAAATTGCAGGTATGGTTATTTTTCCCGGGTATAAATGTTCAACATTTATGGATTAAATTTGTAATAAACCATACTTATGATTTCTAATAAAACTAAGACATGGCACTATATAAGTCATGAATGGTACAGAGCAAGCTGCACTTACAAGATAACAGTAATGGCAGCTACTCATGCAAGATTTTTCTGCCTGTCTGATCTTCACAAGATTCCTAAAAATGAAAATAACATTGTCTCCAGTTTCATATATAAAATCTCCCACAATAAAAAATTGACTCCTTTGAGTTCATAATTTCATATGTGCATTGTCTACATTGGCACATGAAAAGTGCTGTTCTATTGTGAATGGCCTGAGACGGTACTGGCCCATAAAGGTCTATTTATATCACATCCCTAGATTTTCCAAGCTTGTTGAATGCACTGGTTCATTGTCTTAAATGTGCCACATGGAACACCTCCATGGTTTCAGCAATATTGAAAAACAAATACCTGGTGTAGAGGGGCACTTCTCGGTGTTTTCGAACCCGTGTTTGCGACAAGGGGCACTTCTCAAAAATGAGATAGACTTGACTTTCTACAGTGCTTCACAGTGAAATTGGGTAATACATTTAATATGTATTTATAACAGCTGTTCTTGCAAATGGTGAAACATGTCTGCTTGTCACAACATGTGATTTCTCCCACTGACATATCTTGGATTCCATGTTATTTGGTTTGATATTAGTCACTGGCAGATAAACATGGGTTTAATTTGCATGTTATATTGCTCAGCCACATACATGTGGGGAAATCCTTTTGTAAGGGAAAAGCAGGTTAATCAGACAGAATACACATTTACCTTACAGCTCTATTTGACGTTGCAATGAAATAGCTATTGATCCTATAGTAGTTCAGATTATAGGTGGGGACCCACATTATTTAATTCTTTCTATACAAATACCATGTGTGTGTTTATCCATCATTAGAAGGGATTTCTTAATTGCAGAAAGTGTCTTGAGTGCACAGCAGGAACTCTCCTCACCTCACACAATTCACAAATTAGCTTGCTGTTTTGTGATTAGTCTTCAGGACTGTTCAGAAACAGATATTACAGACAGCCCATGATCAGAACTGAGAGCACATCAGAGAATGAGGCAGACTTTCTTTCTGGTTTGAGAAATCAGATTTAGAGAACTCCTATGTACCAAAACCAATCACAAAAGATTCCTCTATACAACTATAGTTAATTTATTTTCTTCTAATAACAGATTTTCTCTAAGAACTCTTTCTTTCCTTAAACCAGAGATTACTTTGGAGTCTGATAGCTCAAACATTAGTCACACCCTCTCCCCCCCCCATTAACCTGCTTTCAGCTCTAACGCAGGCTATCTTTAATATCTATTTCTTCCAGTCCTCTCTGTGTAAAGTGCTGGTGAAATCACTGTGATTTATTCCTGAACAAAGATGGTTCAGGCTGGGTTTTATAGTTTGTTTCCTGTGCCAACTTCATATTCCTCCAGACCCACTTGATCAAATACACCACACACCCTTTTTCAGTTGCCTAGAACAACAAAAACAGACAGGTGCCAACATGGCTTACTGGCAGATTCTAGGAGCTATCATCCATAACATTAACTTTTCACGAACTCTGACATCTAGTGGGCTGTTGGTCACAGGTTGTTATGACAAATATGATGGATATAGTTCACAATGAACAGCTAAATTTGGCTTCCAGAAAGCTCAGTGTTCTTGCACATTGGAAGCCTGTTGAGTCTGCTCACTCTTTCTCATAGACTTGCACTTGAAAATGACACAATGGTCTTTCTTCTTCCCTCAGAAATGTTAGGCTCCATATTTAAAGTTAAGAAAACAGAGGAATGGTTTCAGAGGTGGACTCATAATTCTTGGTATGTGTCAGGAGCAAGAATTCCCGTGTATATTCCTCAGAGCCTTGATCCCCTGAAGTAGGAGGAAGACTTTCCTACTATACAGATTCCTGGTGGGACACCTCTCTGAGAATCTAGACCAACAGCATATGACTCCAGAGCTATTTATTCAGCTGTCATGGATAGATTTCATACCATCTCTTTCAGTGAAGTTATCGTTGCTCACAGAGAAGTCATCATTCTCCATAGTGCAACTGGAACCATCTTCGGATAGCTCTGCCTCAGTTTCTTTGTCTTTTGTCAGATTGTTGGTCAAATTAAGAAACACCTGTGTGACAAGAATTAGAAACATATTTTTAAATGAATATACTTAAGTAAAACTCAGTTGACTCATTGGCAGTTCTGCATTGTTCCTAAGAAATATGTAAGGTGCAAGATGTAGGGTGCAAATCCACTTTACAAAGGTCATTCCTCTCTTTGATGGCATCCTCTTTTTGAAGGACTATCTAGTCCAACTCTAGTTTAAAGACAAAGGGCTAAATCCAATAGTACTCCCACAGAAATGAATGGAACATAGGCAGTACTGAGAAGTTCCAATCTTCTCTAGCTGGGATTTAGCTCAAAGGATCCTAAGAAGGGAGCTGGAAATTGCACATCAGCTGTTAGGTCTCAGAAAGCAGACTATGTAGGCAGGCACATAAGTCACTAACCACATATAGTGAGATTCAAATTATAGGAAATCTGTATATATCCACTCACATTTCATGCAAATCTATGCTTGTGCTTTGGATGACATATACCACTCTAGCACGATGCAATAATCCAGAGACAAAAAAAGAGGGGGAAAAGAGGAAAAAATACAAAGAAAAAAAATTGAAGCAGCATAGGAAAGAAAGAGAAAGAGAGGAGTTTTGTGTTGTATTAGCTTCCCATGATGATTTTTTTTCTGAATAGAGAAATTGGCAGTTTCTGCCACTAGAGAATGGTGTCAGCTCAGAGCCTTTCTGCAAATGATAATGCTATGAATACAGACTGTGCACAAAGACATGAAAAGCTTCACGCAAATAACAAGCCCAAATTCACCACTAAAACTAAACCTGCAGTAAAACTCAGCTGATAAAAAGAAAGGCTTTTTTTTCTGTGGGTTGGCATCCTTCCCATGAAAGGTTTCAGGCTCTCCCCAGCTGGAGGGGGGGGGGGATATGGAGCTAAATCTATTTGTAGCCCTTTCTTCCCCCCCCCCCCTCCCCCACTCCCTCCCCAGGTGGAGAGAGCCTGAAAAAAATCTGAATAATCAGCTGCCAGAGGTGACTACAAGATTCGTACATATCTCTGCATATCTCCGCTACAATTCTACCTTAAGTGTGGAATAATCAGCTGCTAGAAGTGACTACAAGACTCATATACTGTATATCCCTGCATATTTCTGCTACAATTCAACCTTAAGTGCGGATGGATGAGTAGATAAACATGTCCTATGAGTGCTTACATATTTTTAACGTATTGATGAATCAGAGCCAAAGTTTGCACCTCTTGACCCTGACATATTTTAGCTCTTCAGTTCTTTGTTGGTTAGCTCTTTGGTGATGTGTACCACGTTTCAGATCACACTGTTATCAGGCTGTTCACAAACATATCAACAGAAGTACAATAAAACAGCAAAGAACAAATGAATAGGAGGAAAAACCAGCAGTAAAACAATCAGATATTGAAAGTTCATGAAACATTAGAATATGCTTACTTCTTCCACAGTGCTGTCTGAAATGCCATAGCAGCCAATATGGAGATCGTCTAAGCCACTGTCTAAGGCTCTCAGAAGAGACTGATAGGCTGAAGAAGTTTTACTGTTAAACTGGGGGAGCATATAGACAAGCTCTCCACCAATATCTTCCTTGAGCTTGGCTTCAGTAAGGTGAGACTGGATCATGGCTGTCACTGCAGAGGTGTCACAGTTTTCTGACACATTTAGAGCTGGGCTCTGGAAGAGGAGGCAAGGGGAGAGAAACACAAGACAGTATGAATACAATCTGTGAATTGGATTTTCAAGACATATCATTTCAATTACACCAAAGAAAGAGGAAAAATGGTCTTGAAATAACTGGCTAATAATCTGAAACAAGAGGAGCTGATTGGGGGCGGGGTGGGTTTAGAAATGACTTTATTTTGGCTACTCCAAAATTGATTTAATAGCATATATGCATTTGGTTATTTCCCCAATTCAATCCATCTGTCTCAGGGGCTATTATTTCATGTTGTTGCAACTTGAGTGTTCATTGCATCCTTCAGGAACACCTCCATCTGTCTCAGGGGCTATTATTTCATGAGTGTTCATTGCATCCTTCAGGAACACTTCTGTAGGTGCCATTTTCTCACCTCTCTTCTTACCCTGATGTTACTTCAGGTTTGAAAACCTGTAAGGATATAAAAGTCTCTTGCACACCGGTTCCAAACCTTTTTCTTAGTCAGGGTCAAGTGGTATCCGCTGCCGAATGTTTCCTTCAAGTAGAATGGGGATCCACAGCACTTGAGCCCTCCATGTTCTAAGAATGCAATCCTGTCACTCAACACCTCAGCTTCATCCAGGTGATGGGTAGACAGAATGATGGTTCTGCCTGAAAACAGCATTTTAAAAGTTGCAATGAAAACAAATAAAAAGGCTATGCTTTTTCTTTCATTTTTCATTTCATTTTGATACTTCATTTTAGGAAGCATCAAAAAATGTTGTAAGCAAAGGCTGTGGCACTATCTTTTGCTCAAACAGAAGAACATGCCATGGAAACTGAGGTTTTTAGACTGCCAGCTGGGGAGCTCCTGGTTCTCTGTATTAACTGACAAGGTGGACCTGTAATAGCATCTAGATAATTCTTTCTGGGGGAAACAGTTCATCCTGAAAACTTCATCCTGGACTGAGTTTCTAGGTGAGCCATGAGGTAATATGCTGGAGCCTGGACACTAGAAAACTCCGTTTTAAGTCTTTAGCGCCACTTAAGAATAATAGCTACATCACGTGGCTCTTGACCATTGTATTCATGAGCCTGAACAATTAAAGCTCACCCAATTCCCAAACAATTAATTACCACAAGTATCTTATCTCATTTTCTTGTTAAATTCTATTTGTGTACGATCCCTTCAAAAAAAACCTAAGAATGTCCATGTTTCTGCTCATACTATCTTATGTTTCTGTTTACGCTACCTTTTCTGTTCTTTGATATGATATCCCAAATGCCTCTCCTTGAACATGGATCAACGCCGGTGGTCGGCTCATCCAAAATCACAACCTTTGAACCTCCAAGTAGAGCAATAGATATCGACAGCTTTCTTTTCATGCCTCCTGATAATGAACCAGCCAGTTTGTGACGATGGTTGTACAACCCAGTTTCCTTCAAAGTCCTTCAAAACAGGGTTCATGAAAAGAAAAATTAATGTTGTTCTGTTGCTTGTAACTGAAAGAAAGAAGTCTACACGCATGAAAGCATTATGAGCACAAATAAAAAGCTGATTCTTCAAAACTGGGAGGACTGTGATTTAATGTCTGGTTTGAAGTTGATTTTCTTCTTCTTCATCATCATCATCATCATCTTATTATTATTATTGTTGTTGTTGTTGTTGTTGTTGTTGTTGCTGTTGTTGTTGTTGTTACTGTTATTGTTATTTTTATTGCTATCATTATCATTATCATTATCATTATTATTATTTGTTTTTTAAGAGTGTCAAGAACATCTGGCCAATATGTCAAGGATAAGGGCTTATAGCTACTATTTCAAATGCCAATGGGAGGTTCAAATAGATGCTTGGCTTTTCCCCCCCTGCTCCAGGACCCAAAACAACTACAAACCCATTTTGATTGGACAGTGAAAGCTAATTTGTCTTTCTAAAATGGTACAAAGTAGCCTTAAAAATGGTGTCGTAAAAACCAAACAAAAATGACTACAATAATGATTAAAATAGTAGTACAAAAGCTAGTGTTCTTGGCAACTGGGATGGACTCTTGCGGCATTCCTGTGATGCTAATGTTCTAAGATTTTATTATTCTGACACAACTAAAGAAAAAGAGTACATTTTGGCCCAAACTAGACCCTGGTCAGCAATCCTCTCAGTAAGTTAGGAGAAATTTCCTCTTCTGTGTGTTTTTTAATGGCACTGTGACTAGACTGGTCAACGAAGTGGTGAAGAACACTGTAAAAACATAGCAGCGCAAAATGAAGAAGGTACTGCTTGAGCCTGATTTTGACATATGAAGCTACATTCTATTCACCACTTAATACATTGTAATAGTAAAAGGTACAATGAACAGATGTATTTCAAAAAAGGCAGTCAAAATCGTTAACCGTGCAGTGAAGACAAGTAGAACACACTAAATCATGATTAAAACATGTAGACAAAATGCAGTACCCGATTAGTTATAAAAGTTGGTACATTTATTTGCAACATGTGAAATGTAGATTCTGTAGATTAGGACCTATTTCCCTATTTGTGTTTCTTCTTTGATTTCTGCTAACAAAACCATTAGGTTATTGTTAGGTAAAGTGACTTTTCAATATTGTTGCAGTGAACTTCGTAACCAGAGATTTTGGTTGAGCTTCAGAATGGATCTCTGGCTGAAACTGAAATGTAAAAAAACCTGATGCTGTTGATGAGGCTGCACCCTGTTCAAAGCAAAATGAAGCTTCTTCCAGTCATCTTAAAAAGTGTTATTGTTATAGCAAGGAATAGATGTTGATGTGGCCCTTGATGAGAAACTGGGAACATGTGGGAACAAAAGGGGGTCTGTGGTTAAGAAAAGGTTAAGAACCACTAATCTAGAACATCTAGAACCCTGCCATTCTGACTGAGGTTTTCTGACAGCTGTATCCAAAAAAGTAAGATTTTCACACTCTTCTCCTACATAACAGCAAATTCCTACCTCACCCATAAGCAAAAACACCGCACAGTATTTATAAGCAGTATAAATACGGATAGATAAGTAGATCTTGGGGAAAGAGAAGAAAAGATGGCCCTTTGCCATTGAAGACCAGTCTACTCCCCCATGCTCAGTTTCTCAAGGACAGGACAACCAACCAACGTGCTTGCTCGTGGACACCTTTGAATGGCCTTACAAGTGATCAGCAGAGCTTTCCTTTCTGGGTTTGTCATCTACAATCCTCACACAGAAATGTGAACAGCAAAACACAAGAGGAGCCCAGGAAGGAAAGTAACATTGTGTGCTATGTGTTTTCTTATAGTCATCTTTTCTACATACCTTTCTACTTCCTCACACAACTCGTCCTTGCTCCAGTGGGGCACCTTGATGTAGCCGTATAAAAACAAGTGCTCCTTTGTAGTGAGGTAATTAAATAATACATTATGTTGCATGCAAATCCCCATGTTTTTCCTGATAATATCCTGATCAGTTCTGATATCTTTACCATAAACAAATATAGTGCCAGATGAAGCAGGAAACAGGCCAGTTAGAATAGATCTAGAAAAGGGAAAAAATAAGGAATAGTTTAGACAAATAACCAGCACTTTATTCAACGCAGATCCAGACAGAACTTTACAATTCATGATTATGACAATATTGTGACAATACATAATCCCCCAATACTAGATTAATAACTATAGATGATATTCTGAGATGTATTTCAAGTGTTTGACCATAGATATACCCACAAAACTGCAATGCTACTGGCACACATAGTGGGCAGAATATTATTATTTTCACAGAGACTTCAGAGAGCTGAAAATTTAGCAAGTTATTTTGGCTCCTGCAGCCTCAGGGAGTCTTGACACTGACAGTGTTACCACATTGCTGCTGTAGGTCACTTTCCCACAGCAAAGTCCAGAAAACTGGCCTATTTGCTGCAGGACCCAATAACAATAATTCAAAACTGGAAAGCTTTAGCAAGTGTTATTGCTTGTACTTCTTTTGTACGGGAGTAGAAAAATCTCTTAAATGTCCTTGTCAGCAATGACAAGAAATCTGCTTTCGTTTGTGAAGGAGTCAAAGAGCTGCTGACACAAAAAAAGTTTTAAAAATCTGTGGCATAAGACATTTGAAAAAGTGGATCTCAAAGACAACTTCTGACCCAGTTGTTTTTATATATACCATGTGTGTGTGTGTGTGTACACACACACACACACAGAGAGAGAGAGAGACAGAGACAGAGAGAGAAAAAGAAAGAGAGAATGTGTATATGTATATAAGAGAGAGAGAGAGAAAGAAAGAGAGAATGTGTGTATGTATATCTCATTTGTCTGTGCTAGTCACAAAGCATATTTCTTGTGGTTCTGAGGAACTCCTTTTCAAGAACAAAACCTACATGGTGGTAGTTTTCCCAGCACCATTGTGACCCAGCAAAGAAGTGATGTTTCCTTCATAAAAGTTGAGGCTGAGATTCTGAACAGCAGCTTTGGATTCGTAGATCTTTGTTATTCCATGAAGAGAAACCCCTACTTTTAAGTTGGTAGGTTCAGGCTCAAGGTTGGGAGGCAAGGCACTCTGACCATCTGCAAAACAACAACAGTGGAACAGCTGTTTTACTTTTGTACTTGAAATTGTGGGAACTTACGTATGAGATACATGTAGGGCTTTCAATGAAAAAGCCCACACAAGAAACTGAACTGTGGTCTATGTGGGTAGTCTCCAGAGTTGTGAGCCTGTCGGGTCCGCCAGTGCACATCGCCATGGCGGACCTCCTTTGCCTTCCCTCATGGAGTAACGCAAGACACAAGAAACATGCCCTTACCCGGGGGAGGGGGAGTGTCCATAAAAGGATGCTTCCTCACGTGTTGAGCCTCTTTCCAAGGCTCTCATCCCTCCCTCCCTCCCTTAATCCTATTGGGGGGCGGATAGGAATTTTTGACCTGCTACCTTAATCGGCTTATTGATTGTGGGGATTTTTTGCCTATCCCACACTGGAATGGGCTTGCGTGTTACCCTATGAATGTTTACTGTGTTAATATTTTAGGTCATATGGTGGGTAGTGTGGAAGGAAATAGAATTGGTGAGTGCCCATGGAGTGCAATGCAGGAGTTAACATGTCTGACCTCAAGATGCTGCGGATTGTGAGGTTACAGTGCTGGGAGGGAAGACCTGCTGGGGCCCTCCTCGGGCTGAGGGCCACCAAAGAGAGGGGGCTTACAGGCCCATCACCTGCATCTTGCCTCATCATTCCATGGTGGGAGGGCAATGAAACTGTGTTTCATTATATGTAGGAGCTTATGCTGTGTACACATTATATACTGCTAGGAGAAACATTTGACATCACAATAGGAAAAAGCAAAATTGAACTACTTGAACTCATGTAAAACCTTCTGTTATGATTACATGTCTCTTTGCACATTTGTATAGATCTAAGGCTGGTTCATTTCCATTTTAGATATATACGAAAATATAAACTCATCAGTTTTCAGATCCAAAGTGTTCTTTGGAGTTCAAACTAGAGATGAGCCAATAAATTTCCTCATACACACACTGGCAAAATGTGCAACAACAATATTTCCAAATGCAGGCAGAGTCTTGAGGGACATATACCCTGTGTTCGCAGAATCAGTCTGTTGATTCAGCTTTCAACTTCAGTCTCAAAGGTGTTTGCTGGATTGTGCAATGTGGCAGATATCCCTCCTGCTTTTCTGTATAAACCTAATGAATCCATCAAAAGAGATACTCCACGGCTGAAAGTTGTTGGAACACTTACACATCTTTTCAGGGAAAGATGGCTGCCTTGTCAGGAAAAAGTTGGTGAACAGATAGCCTTTTATCTTCTCACTCCACACTGGGCTGTAACCATAGCGCTCTGCCCAGTAAGACGGAAGGAGTGGAAAATACCATGGTGCTGCCATACCATACTTTCCTAGAATTAAAAATAATAAGAATAATAACAGAGAAATGAATGTGAGAAATCCAAAAAGTTCCTCTTTTCAAATGCTTCGTCTAAAGCACCTTGAATTCTGAATAATTCTGACATTCTCTTCATTATCTCAGGTCCAAAGAAAATGGTAGTGTGAGGAGAACTCTAGGTATGTTAAACAAACAGGTTAGATAAAATGTTAGGGACTGCCCCAACCTCTATTTGTGGAAGAGGGTGAACTGGTGGCACCATTTCTGCTGCTCACCAATCTTCCACCTAGTTTTCTGTTTGGGGAAAGAGTTAGGAGATGAAGTTTCGCCATGGCTGGGATTCAATGATGTTGCAAAACTTTCAACTGATATCTTGCTTGCATTTTCTCACTGGACCAGTTAGTCTCACAAGATCTCTCTGGGCCTCAAATAGCCCTGTACATGTGACCCCAGCTGTTTCCTTCAGCTGGAAGAGTGCAACCCATTGACCCGCCTCAGTCATCATAAGGTAACAAATTTTGGAGGGGTTTTTCTTCAAGTTTTTCGTGGCATGCTTTTTGCCTTCATTGGTGTATCCACCTTTCCAATATATTTCTCATATTTTCTATGCGGTTTCTGCATGGCACTTGCTTCTACTCATTATCACAACTTGTGGACAGGGGATATGAAGGTGCAGGGGTTCCTAATGATACAGGCACATGACATTTGTTAAGCAACTACAACCTACAGTAGAAAGGATGGTTTTGTTGCCTCCCAATGGTGACTATAAAACAGGTTTCTGTCAACAAAGCATCAATTTACCATAGTTTTATAGCCAAACAATATCTTTTTAAATTATCAGCAAAATGTTATTTATTTATTTATTTATTTGTTTATTTATTTGTTTATTTATTTATTTATTTATTTATTTATTCATTCATTCATTCATTCATTCATTCATTCATTTAAATAGCCTGCTCTTCTTACCTGGGAAAACATTCCTAATGTACCAACCCAGGATAAAATAGATAACAGAATCAATCAGAATTAGCCAGCACATCCAGCCAAAATTAGTGTTGTCTCCTGACATAGGTGATGCATACATATTGTCCCACTGCAGACCTATTTTAAAAAGAGAAAAAAGAAAAAGAAGAATACAAAGGGCAATTGCTGCATTAGATGATAAAGGACATGACTGCATCAGGGTTATCTAAATCAATTCCATGAAAAAAAACTCCACATACCAATGCCCTGTTCTTCATAGCGGGCAATATACTGGCTTGCATAGCTGAATGCAGTTGGTGACAACAAGCTCTGGAAAAAGCAGAGAAAACATACTGAAATACTTGCCCATAAATACCCTGATGAACATATGTAACATGTGCAGAGTTCAGAGAAATATAAATTACAGAAATAAAGTTCAGGTAAGGATGAAAAATTGCTTAACTAAAGAAGGGAGAAAGAGGAAAGCAGGAAGATATAATCCCTGAGAGACAGAATACAAAGAGGCTTTGAGGGTCATTCTGTTCATCACATTTGTTATCTCCACTCTAATTCTTCCAACTAACACAAGACAAAGGATTTGTCCAAGACGTGGCTTCTACTGCCAGAAGGCATTGATCCACAGGTATCCTCCGTGGTTTTTAGGGATCCACCCTACACCCTGCATACCCCATCTGCAAAGGCCTCTTTCCTCTTATATTGCATATTCAGGAGGGCAGAGAGGCTGCTGTGGGGAGGAGGGCATGGGGAAGTTCTGTCAATGAAGTTGCACAGGCCTGAAATTGGACCCAACCCAATGTATATATGGCTCATTCCATGTTCACTGGGACCTTCTAAAGTAGGTTATGAGGAAGTCAGGCTGAGGTTAAGAAGGGGAGGGGAAGTGGGAAGAAAAACTGGCCAAGAAAGCACTGAGCAATCTTTGTTAGGCTGGCTGGAATCCAGCATGCCACATCCAAACCAGAAGCCAGAGTAGAGTGACTCTCCAGTTGATTCTGTAATGGATAAAAACAAACACAGAAGTGGTACCTCCTGCACTGGAGAGCTATGCAATTAGCTCCTCCCAATTTGACCATGTTCACTCAAGTGTACAAGAACCATTGATGGAAAAGGAAGGACCAACTGGCAGAGGCGACATGTAGCCTTTTCATCTATCCCTCATTCCTCTAAGGAATAACACTTCCACATTCACAACAGTCCTAAGAGGTGGATTGGACTGAGAGTCAGTGATGTGGTCCAGACTTCACAGTGAATTTTACAGCTGTGTTGGGTTTTATATACATAAAACTCATCACCTTAAGTATCATGCCATACAATCTGTCCCAATCTGTCTTTTATATACATAAAACTCATCACCTTAAGCATCATGCCATACAATCTGTCCCAGAGACAACTTAAATTTCCATGTTTTAGAAAGTAAATGTTTGGGGAAAAGACAATGTTTAATCCGAGTTGGAACTAGTGAGCTCACATGCTCTATTTCTTCAGATGATAAAGACTCAATTGTCCAAAAAGGCTGATAAAAAGATTATCATTACCCATTTGGTTTAATGACTGAATCTGTCTTTTTTATAGTCCTCATCAGCCCAAACAACCACACATTTTTAAATCTATTCTGTTGACCCATGAAATGAATTTAAAAATTCTCCTCTTAATTAATACATTGTCCAATTAATCACTCAATGAATAAGGATGCCAGAGGTGAGGAGATCAAAGGCCAAGTAAGCAGCTCATACGTATGTAACAGAGTCCATGCTTTGCACGTGGCAAGCCTCAGATTCATGCTTTGACATCTCTAGTTTAAAGCAAAGCTGGGAGTGATCTCTGCCTGAGCCCAAGAAAGCTTCGACCAGTCTGAGTACAGAACACTGGTCTAGATGGATCAACTACCTGACTTGATATTAGGTGAGCCATATTTTTATATGATATTGTTATACTACAGTACTATTACATCACACTATTACGAGCCATATTTTTATATGATATTGTTATACAGTACTATTACATCACAGTATTATATTATTCATTTTGTATTCAATATTCCTAATGTTAGGTTATAACATTGAACATACCATATACAAAATATATACTGCTTCTGAATGACAAAGAAACAAGCCAATGTATGTATTTCAGGCTGATGAAAAATGGAAGTCTAGTTGTAAAATTCTCCAGCTTCTGAACACAAGGAAGGACTTACTAGGAGGCTCTTCACTGAGAAGCTCACATGATTCTCCACGACCAGCAGGACAATGAAGGGGAAAAAAGTCAAGATGTAGACAAGACACCCAACCAATGCAGCAATGTTGGTGTTGTTGAAGAAGACACTGATGAGGTAGCACATGGCTATGATGGATAAGCTGTAGTCCGTAAGGTACAGGAACAAAATCACAACGTTTATTTTGGGAAGAATATTCCCAGCTTTAAGGACTACAATCAGACATGTGATCGTAATTAGGAGAAAAGTAGCACACTCAATGAACCAGGCAAAGAAGTGGCTGCTGGAATTGACACCCATCATCTTCATGTACTGTAGAGAAGAGGCACAAGAGACAGACACTTAGTATGATTTAAACATATCTTACATAGGAGTATGTGCATCTGTCAAATTAATTTCCGAGGGCTTCCTTTCCTTTTTTTGTAGGATTGACTAAATTACAATTTATCCTACAGTTTTAATAGCAATTATCCCAGTCAGTTTCTAGTTTTCCCCATTGACACAAGATAAAGCTAACTGCAAGTAAGCCTCATCCTTTTTTATGGTAATTCATTGAATTCTGACCCGCCAGCAGGGTTTTTTGCTTTTTTATTCCCTATATCACTGTTGGTGACAGTGACCTCTTTGGTGGGGTGTGTTGTGGCATCCCTCCTCTCCCTCCAGTGACTATCTCCCCGCTTTTCATGGAAGAAAGTTTATAACGTACAGTGATTGAAAAGTGCAGGTCTCTCACTTACTCTGAGCTACACAGGATGTAAAATGAGGCGAGTAAGTAAATAACATAAATAACATCATGACATGATGCAAAATGGATGGTGCTTGCCACACACGTATGTGGAGCTTCTTAAAAATTACAACAGCTCCTATGCTTCTAGTGGGACTAATCCACTGAATAAATCATGAACCACACACTAAAATATTGGCAGTGTAGGGTTTTTTTTTTTGTATCTTTGTACTCTTTCTTAAGTGAAACCCAAGGAGGCACAGTTTCTAAAGTTGAGCGGCTCCAATGCAATGTAGTGCTAGTTATGGAGTATGAAATATTTTGGTTTACTCACTTTTAATTCTGCAGAAATTTGTTGTAACATGGAGGGTGAAAAAAAAACCAAGGATGTGTTGGCCTCTCTTGAAATTACATTACATTACATTACATTACACTACACTACACTATATTATATTATATTATATTTCTATGGCACAGAAGAACTGCAGCCCTCTAGCTATGGATAAAGAGGTTATAATGCCCTTCCTCCCCGTATGACTGCTGTCCCAGTTTTCAAGAGAGATTACTCTAGTGTGGGCATCAGCTCCTGGAGTTGAATTTCTGAAGGCCTAAAACTATTCCTTCTTCACATTAGGATGTCTTTTTGCTCCAAAACAATCAGTTTCTCTGTTCCAACCTGTTGAATTGATTAAATGGCTATAGAAATTGCTGAAATTCCCAGTCCTATTAAAAACATATCATTGACAAATCACAGCAATAAGTATGCACATTAGAATATGTTTTAGTGGGAATAGCTCATTTTAAAAATCAATGTGCACTAATCTCAGAGTAATGGACCTAAAAGCAACAGTTAATTCTATGAAGTGTATACTGCAGGTTTCCACTGAGTACTGAGGTAAACAATTAAAGGACATCTCATTTTACTTAACTTTGACAACTAAATGAAGTTATAGTACAGAAAAGATTTTCACATTGATTCTCTCTACCAGCTCACAGGAAATCTAATCTTGCACATACCTTAGAGCACAACAAAGAGAATCACGAAAACTGGTGTGCCATAGCCAGGAACTTTCTTACAATGATATATATGTATATAACTACATATATTATTATGTTTATAAACATATAAACATGTGCTGTTCATTATTAGGAGCATTGCCATTTGTTCTTGTCGTTGGACTCCAGCTCTCAGAACTCTCTAAAAATTCCCCAGGCAGAATCCTGGGCGTTCCTGCCCACAGACCGCAACATTTCACCCACCTGAAACAGGCCCTATCTTCTAGGCTGCATCATGCCTACTCCTTGTACGAAAAGGAAAGTGCCCCAATGCTTCCTGGGAGGGCTAGCTCTTTGTGAGAGGTGTAGTTCTTTAGGCATGCCCTATATAGCGCCTAATAGTCAGCAAGACTAGACCTCCTACAGAGATCTGGAACCACCTTGGAAGCACTGGGACAATTCCCCTTTTTTGTACAGGAAAGAGGCCTGAGACAGCCTAGAAGATCAAGTTATTTCCATGTAAGGGAAATGTAGGCATGTGTCGGTGGGCAGGAATTCCCAAGATTCTGCCTGAGGAATTCTGGGAGAATTCAAGGAGGTTGAGTCCAAAAACCAAACACATACACATGCCTATTAATTATGCTCACAAACATAACTCAAATGGTATAACTTTTGGGGGACTTATTGCCTCCGATTGAGAGAGCACTGGAGACAAGAGAGGGGCATGAACCAGCAAAATGGTGGATCGCCTTGGTTCACGGTTTGTTGAAGTTGATGGACCAAGAACCATGAATGTCCAAAGTTTTTCCTGAAGAACCACAAATTGGTTCATTGGTTTGTCAGTACTTTTTTAGACAACCCCCCCCAAAAGCCAAGCTGCCTCAGC